TCGAAATCTATCGAGCGTCCTCGATCTCAATCTGGAAAATAATTTGGGGCAAGGGGGCCTCCACTCCTTTGTTGCCCCGAGGCCTCTGGACCCCTAAATCCAGCCCTGCACATACACTGTGAAATTGGCGGACTTAATGCCGTTGGCATTCTCTGACAGTCGACTATTGGGTGGTGCAGAATGTTAAAGCGGTAGGTGCAAAATTATAGTACCTAAAGAAAGTATGAAATAGATAACATAACTTAAGGTAATAAATATTAAGGAGGGAAACATGAATGTTATAATTTATAATCAATAATACATAACTAAGGACATAGGGTATTAAAAATAAATTACATAATAAAATATATCCTAAATATGCATGTATTGTGTTATGATATAAATACTCACTATATAATAGGTACTTAAATATATAAATAAATGCCATAGGTACATGGACTACATATTGCCACTGTTTTGAGTTTACCACTTTCTATGAATGTGTTCTCAAACCTTGAATTTAAATGAACAGCAATTATTTGCCATTCTGATTTCCTTGGGCAGCGCATTCCACAAAGAGACAGACTGAACAAAAAAGGAGGAGTGAAAATAGTCAGTGGGGTGAGTGGGACATTGAAGTTGACGGTTATTAGAAGAGCAGGGCCGGAATTAGGGGGGGGCAACCGGGGCGAAAGCCCCGGGGCCTCCACAAGCAGGGGGCCTCCACAATAGAGTCTTCGGAAAAAAAAATCTTTCAAATTTCATCTAGTAAACCTAGTAAACATCTTTTCTTTGATATTTTTTTTTTCGCTTTTACCTTTACCTACAGCCTAAAGTACTTTATACATACATGATTATTTGATTATATTAATTTTAAATATTACCAGAAACAGAAATCATTGATCTATATTTGTTCACTCCAATCAGGCAATCAGTGAAATATCAAAATCTCAAATGGCTCTGATAAGCACTTCCAATTTACTACCCATCTTGAGGGAGTACCCCAATGGCTCAATGGCTCAGTGGGATGGTACTTGCCCGCAACCTCGGAGGTTGGCTATTCGATTCCGTGTCTCGACCATTAAAAAAATTAATTGCAGTATGTGAACAATTGGTATTCTTCAATTCTTAAACTCGAAATCTGTCGAGCGTCCTCGAAATCAATCGAGCATCCTCGATCGTTTTCGAGCATCCTCGATTGTTTTCGAGCGTCCTCGAAATCTATCGAGAGTCCTCGATCGTTTTCGAGCGTCCTCGAAATCTATCGGGCGTCCTCGAAATCTATCGAGCGTCCTCGAAATCTATCGAGCGTCCTCGAAATCTATCGAGCGTCCTCGAAATCTATCGAGCATTCTCGATCGTTTTCGAGCGTCCTCGAAATCTATCGGGCATCCTCGAAATCTATCGAGCGTCCTTGAAATCAATCGAGCGTCCTCGATTGTTTTCGAGCGTCCTCGAAATCTATCGAGAGTTCTCAATCGTTTTCGAGCGTCCTCGATCGTTTTCGAGCGTCCTCGATTGTTTTCGAGCGTCCTCGAAATCTATAGGGCGTCCTCGATCGTTTTCGAGCATCCTCGATTGTTTTCGAGCGTCCTCGAAATCTATCGAGAGTCCTCGATCGTTTTCGAGCGTCCTCGAAATCTATCGGGCGTCCTCGAAATCTATCCAGCGTCCTCGAAATCAATCGAGCGTCCTCGAAATCTATCGAGCGTCCTCGATTGTTTTCGAGCGTCCTCAAAATCTATCGAAAGTTCTCGATCGTTTTCGAGCGTCCTCGATTGTTTTCGAGCGTCCTCGAAATCTATAGGGCGTCCTCGATCGTTTTCATGCATCCTCGATTGTTTTCGAGCGTCCTCGAAATCTATCGAGAGTCCTCGATCGTTTTCGAGCGTCCTCGAAATCAAGCGAGCGTCCTCGATCTCAATCTGGAAAATAATTTGGGGCAAGGGGGCCTCCACTCTTTTGTTGCCCCGAGGCCTCTGGACTCCTAAATCCGGCCCTGTAGAAGAGTGAAGATATTTGCGCATATAATTATATTGAGATAAACAGGTGAAGAAGGAGAGTCGAGATAAGAAAATAAAGTAGTTAACGCCCTTTGCTGCCACTTTATTTGCAACCGATGTGCAGAAACAATATTATATTTAAGTAAATTGAGAACGAATCGAATGTAGTTATTTCGAAGACGGTCAAGTTTGTTGAGTAGATCTGCATTCAGGTCGTAGTAACACACATCAGCGTAATCAATCGTATCGTAATCGGAACGCCGTAGACGGAAGGAAGTTTCTCGCAACGACCCAGTCACCTTCTGGCGACTCTAGTGACCTGTGCACGCCAGCTCAATGTGTTATCGATATGTAAGCTAAAATCCTTCACGTTTGGGTACTGATCTATTTTCGTTTAGAAATAACGACTGTGACATGAGGATGGGTACCCAAGACGAAATCTCCTATATGCGATTCATCAGAAACAGCTCAGGGCAGGAGATTATAGCAAGTTCTTAAGGTGTGTATCACAATCACATGAGTATTAGGTCTATAAAGGATAAGTTACACTATAAAAAAGTCCGCGCCGCTTGCTCAACTTTCACGTGGTGAAGAAATTTTTTTTCCAAAGTTACTTTTATTACAAAATAAAGGCTCTCTAGATTTTTATAGGTAAAAAGAACTACAACTTGTGATAGTCCATCAGGTACCTACCTAAAATATAAACACAGAGCATCCCAATATTTTAAATTGTCAAGTTGTCAACTTTTCAATGAGCCACGTGTTAAGCCATTCATCTTATATTTTATGGCAAGCCATCTAGAGATAACTAATAGGTAATTGAGTTGTAACTTGTTAAGTGATCTTAAGGATAAAGTGGGACTGTTGGACGCACAACATAATACGAAACGCCACATCTGGTTGCAATAATACTGACCTGCGGAAGGTCCCTAGAAACAATTCGGTTATTGCACGAAAACTGTTAGAGGTATAAAAACCCAAATTGCCCGGGATTGCAGAAGGGCCTGGGAAAGTGGCTCTGGCGAGGAGATGTTACAAATGTTATCTCACTTACTCTTGGACTGCGGAGACGGAAGGTTGTCTAGAGTAGACTAGAACCGATCCTTAGGATTCAGTAACACAAAGTAAATTCAGTGTGTAATGTGAAAGATTGGCGAGTAGTAGCGCGAGACCAGTAAAAGGGTATGTGAATGTGGTTTTATTATAGGCTTTTTTTATTTTTTTTAAGGAGGGAAAATCATCGAATACCTGCTCCCACCTGGGTGAGGCGAGAGGGAGTGTCAGACTCTTGCTGACTAAAAACCACCCCGTTCCTTCTCCTGCACGTCGAGCCGGAGCCCCGGTTACCCGTTAGGTTCTCCGCGACTTTATTATAGGCTAGGGTTTTATGATTAGGTATCCTATCTCTGTCTATAGAGACAGTATTGTTCCAGTTCAGTTAAAAGGACTATTCCTTTATATAGATAACATCACTACTTTTATTCCCCGAAGGGAAACACAAAGGCGTACCTACAATTGTAAGAAACAATGATCTCTTCCAAAATATGTTTATAGTTAGGTACGTTATTAGGACGAATTTATTGCTATACTTAGGTACTTACACTGCGCACAATTACTGACTTTGTTAGTGCTGGGTAATAATACTTTTAATTCATAGTCCGACCCAAGAATCGAACCTAAGATCATCGAAACGCTCAAAATTCAAAATTCTCAAGTTATAAATGCTGAAATATGGAACTTTTAGACATACTCGCCGGTTAAGTGTTTGTAAGTGTCATAGCAAATACGAGATCTGGCCAAAAAAAAAAAATTCTGAGTTTGTAACTGTGTCTAGTCATTCCTATTGTACGGGGCCCATAATTAATCAAAGTAGTTAATACTTTCAAGTGTAGGAGAGAGCTATGCTTCGGCACGAATGGGCCGGAGCATAGCCGGACCGGCGACCGGAGTGATACCACGGCCTCACAGAAACGCTTGCGTTGTGTTTCGTAGTGTGAGTGAGGTTACCAGAGGCCCAATTACCCTCCCCTTCCCCAATCTCCCCAATCGCTGAATCCCCAACAATCTTCAAACTCCTAATCCCCCAAAAGCCGGTAACGCACTTGTAACACCTCTGGTGTTCCAGGTGCCCATGGGCGACGCCGATTGCTTACCATCAGGTGATCCGTCAGCTCGTTTACCGGCCTATGCCTAAAAAAAAATACTTTCAGTTGCCTTCATACCATGCTTCTCTACTCAAAGGTTCGAGAATTAAAAGGCGTGATGTTATTCTCTGATAGAGAGGATTTGCTCTTATTCTTATGAAGTTTTGGTTGTAACTGTTGTTTATATAGTAGTGTTAACCCTATGTAATCGTTTGGTTCGCTACCTATGGGAATCATAAGATGTTTATGTATGGGGTATGAGTATGGGATGTATGTGTATGGGGGCTCATATCTCCGCTCTCCAACGAGCTAACTAAAAGGATAATATCGTCATAATAGGAAATAAAGTAGGTATAGATTCTTTTTCAAATAATATATATTATATGAATACTGTTGATTCAACGATCAATCTGCCCTTAATCCTTTATGTTTTCGTTTTAATTAGGTATGTATTTACGTTTACTCTACTGTAAAATAATTTTATTGCTATAAAAATAATAGTGACTACGAATCAAAGCATTCTTAAGTAAATCAGAAACGAAGTAAGGTCTGCTATAATTTAAGTTGTAGGTGTGCATTATTACAGTGCACAAATATTTATTGATGACTGTTTAATTCTAAACAATAGAAATAATTCATTAAAATATTGTCGTTGTTGTCATATACAAAATTAAGAGTGACAATTTGTCTTTAAATAGTCATTTTTAGTTTAATTTAATTTTCACCATTAGTTTTAGATTATTTTAAGTTGTATATATTCATTTATCTTCTAATTCTAATACTTCATGTATTTATTAAATAATATTATTAACTATTACACAGTTTCCTGACACTGACAATGTCATTAGGTATGTCAAAATTAGACGAGAATTAGGTACAGTTTTATCTGTGGTTGTGGAATCAAATGACGCTTTTTGAAGCGGTAAGTTTACATGTTTATTTATGTTTATATTTCTATATTTATGAAATAAAACTGTATTTGGCGCTTTAATAAGATATTTATATAGATTAAACTTGGACATAGGTAACACAAACTTGTGGTGGGTAACTTGTGTAACTAATTGTGTTTGGTAGTCACCACACCTTACATTTTCAACCGTTGTCGGGCATTAGGCGCGGTCGTTGCTCACACAAAAACAGGTCTCAATATTGATTCTTGACTGAGATTTTTTCTTCAACAGGTTGGCATCGGTCTGTAAAAAATGTCGGCACCTGAAATTAACGCTTACTTTACAGGGAACGGGACGTACAAGCCTATAAACCCGATTGTCTCGAAAGTTGGTGATTTTACGCCGTTTTACATTGCCATTGCAATCTGCTCGGTGATTCTCGGCTTCCTGATCATACTGAACGTGGTGTGCTGCTGTTCCAGGTACTCAGAGTACTGGCTTGACAGACATACAGGTGAGTTTCACTTTGTAATTAAATAATATCACCGTCCAACACAAGACTGGCACTGGCACTTGAGCCATAATTATGTGTAGACATCCTTATTTAACAAACCTATAACATTGATGTTTTCCTAGCAATTAATAGTGTTTTATGCTTCAATGTTAGATTTACATCTCTTCAGGGGCCTACCAGAACATTTAATTTTATGAAACAAACTTAAAGGTATAATATGAAAGTTTTGTTTAAACTGTCAAACACCAAGCAGTCACCGGTGACCGCGACCTATTGTTCTTTAATTGTGTCTATAAAACCGGTACTCGACGAGTTAATCTGTCAAACACCAAGCGGTCACCGGTGACCGCGACCTATTGTTCTTTAATTGTGTCTATAAAACCGGTACTCGACGAGTTAATGCTTAAAAAAATCTTATTCTATTTCATACCATGACCATTTACATTTGCTAATAATGTTTCATTTCTCCTAAGTGATGCGAAAGAACAAATGATTTAAAAATATTGTTTATTCCTTGCTTAGAATTAAAACAAAACTGCTATAAATGCTGGACAGCACTGTGTATATTTCACACATATTATTATGTTCTGAATTTTGGTTTTTAAGCAGAAAAGCAACTTTAAAATTGTAGTTAATATTTAAATGTATGCATTATTGAACTGTTTTTTACTTTGAAAGGTATTTTAAGAAAGAAATTCTAAGTTATCAATATTGATGCTGAATATTCATTGTAGTCAATCAGACCTGTAAATAGATCAAAAACTGGCTTGATAGCAGCGATAGACGAAATTCCTAACTTATATTTTGAATTTCAAGTATTTTGTCAATCAACAAATAAACTACTTACTAAGTAACTGTGAGTTAAGATTTGACATGAAAACAGCCCTGCTAAGCTTCACATAACATCTCGTAGTACGGTTTGAATGAACGATACGTACCTAGGTGACGTCACCAAAACGGCAAACGAAGTAAGATTGTTTTAGAACTCTTTATAAGGTTATTTTTTAAGACCTGCGAAAATACAAAGTAAGATTATAATAGGACTGTTTTAAGACGTTGTGGTAGCCCCTTGATGATATTAGGTACACAATAACTGAGTAAACCCATTTATCCCCAAGTGGTCACCGGTGACCGCTCTCCACTAACTATATTATAGACCTTATTTCCGATGTTTATAGACTAGGTACTTTTGTATGAACAAATTTAGGGGATGATTTTCAACAGGACGCCATTTTCCATAATGTCATGTAAGAATATTGAATGACATTTTCTTCATTCTATCCTGGAATCATCGAACTCAAAGTACATAGTTTTCTAAGCTGATAATGGGGATGATGACAGGGTATGAAAATTAAAAATATAATTAGTCCGTAAGTTAGGTAATGAAAAAATATTAGACACATATTTTTTTATTTTGTCGTATAATAAAACAATACTTAGATAAAACGAATCAAAGGAGTGGGGGCTAAAACGTCATTTCTTAGTATAAAATGTACTGAGAAGTGACGTCACGCGACATTTCAAATCAATATATCTTCGAAACTATTCGTTTCTGTGAGAAAATAAAAAATACGTGTCTAATGTTTTTAAATAATCTATCAGACGGACATTAAAATAAAAATTAGTCGTCTACCCCATTATCATTTGCTTATTTTAGCTCTTGTACTTTACAGGTAATCGCTGGATCGTGTCAATCTGGTCAGCAACTCCACACAAGCAGCCACCACTGGACTTCACAGAGCTCGAGAGCAACTTCCAACAAGTTCACTACGTGCATCCTTACGGAGAAGACAGTGAAGAGTACCGTGACATCCACAAACACAGCGTCCCACCGTCAGTGTCTCAACAGCCACTGACTTCCTCCCAGGAGTACTTGGAGTTGCACAAGAGGGAGAGTGACATTTAGAATGGCGTTCTTAATGCTTTATCCTGCAGTAGCAGTTCTCTCTATGTTCGTACTGATGGTTATCATATTAATTCTAAGATTTGGAGCTCGCTGGTGCAAGCTCCGTCATAATACACTGGCTGACCAAGAATATTGGAATGAAGATGAAGCATATGAACAAAAAGTTTCATATGCCTAAGTTTTCTTTTTTTATATATTTTTTTTACTAACATTCCTCGTGTGTCATTAGATTAGATGTGGCAATGCATGCAATAAGCTAAATAATTAGTCAGCGATACTTGTGTCAATTAGGAAATCAGTATTTCAATGTCCATTAGGTACTTATTATCTACATTCCCAGTTTATACACTTTATTTTACCTATGGTAACTATTTTTTTGTTGTTTAAGTTCATGAAACCGTCCAACTAAGGTCCTATAGACTTGTTATTTAATTGGTATAATGTAATTAATCAGAAGTATTCTTCAATTTTATTTTATTTATGTTTTACCAACATTGTGCTGTTTTATAATAACAGACTTTTTTATATTCTATTTATATTTTTAAATACAGAGTGTTTTATAATTACGATTTTGATACATTATGTGTATCTCTTTTGCCTTATAGTGTATTAGGGTAAATTTTTACATAGAATAGTTATATATTATGCAACTTTCACACTAGTTGTGTACTCTTTTACATGAAATGTGAAAATGACTGTCTCTATGTTTGTATATTTAACAATAATTATATAATGTTATGTAGACTTCATTAGAAATGTAAGTTTAATCTGTATGTCAATGAACTGGTATTTTTAGTGTTATAGAATCAAGCATTTCTCGAATATTGCATTAGAAAACGACATGTAATCCGTCCAATAAATTAAGTTTAAGTACTAAATAACTTCTTTGTTTCATTTCACGTTACACGCCATGGGCGTCACCAGTGACCGACGTTACCGGAGAACTTTTTATTGGCAGTCAAACGCTTAACAACTGATCACTCGTCAAAGGTTAGGCTGCCATCACAGGCCTTAGTACGTTTAAAGTAATCGTAACGAGTACGCGTTCGGCGCTCTGAGTACCAAGCACGAATGACTATCGCAATCGTATCGTAACCGTATCGAGCGCGTTAAGTGTTCTGATTGGTTGGTTCACTTGAGCCGGCCAATCAGAGCGCCGAACGCGCTCGATACTATTACGTTACGAATGCGATGGTTATTCGTGCTTGGCCCTCTGATTGGTTGCTTCATTGGCGCCAGCCAATCACAGTGCCGAACGCGTACCCATTTCGAATACTGAACGAAAAGACTAACAAAATAAATAACAGGCTCGGCAAAGGACACGATTGCGAACTCTCGCAATCGTATCTTTGGCTGAGGACTTCCGGACTTTTTGCGAACTTGTCATCGACATGTTGAAGATGCTGCGGCTCCAAGTTATTAGTCAGCATTCTCGGCAGCTTGATGTGCAGACGAGGAGCCGACGCAATTCCATAATCATCCAGGGTGGGGTAGTTTTCTTAAACGATAAAAATATTTGACGGTGGCATGGTAGGTACTTACTTAAAAACAAGTAGGTGCAAACTCGTCAGTGAGAACGAATTCGCCAGCAAGAGCAAAATCACGCGTGGATATGAACTCACCAAGCGATTACATAGTCTCCACTGAGAATCAACTCACCAAGCGATAACAAATGGCTCCCCCAGCAAGAACGACCTTACCAGAGAGAACAAATTCGTCAGTGCTAACGAATTAACGAATTTACCAGCGGGAACAAACTCAAAATTCTTTTGTTTAGGCAGGTACTATATGTAATAGAAGAAAAAAACGCTTATGATGTGTAAATGTTTATGTCATTATAAATAGTAGATACATACATATAATTATTACATTCGTCTATTTATTGATTTCTTTCAGAGCAATAAAGGTGTTCATTACATAAAATATTATAAATGACAACACTATTGGTTCAAAAATATATGTCACTTAAATACATAGAAGAATTAGGTAGGTACATAATGAAACAAATTTCGGTATCTCTTAATATCTGTATGAAATGTCTTATCTGATTTTGTTCTTGATCAGTCGACAGGACAAACGCCGACATGTGTGTTTCGTCCTGCGGCTGTGAGTGGGATTTTGAGTGGTGTTTCTCCAATCACGATCTTTCTGATGCAGCCGGTGAAGCCACGGCGCGAGCGGACGCCGCGCAGCTTGTGCAGAGGGCGCTCGTGGCCTCCGATGTACAGCGCGGACCGGGTGTCAGTCGACGAGTACGCGCCCATTCCCGGCTTCGAGAAATGACCGTCCACACCGACCGACACTACGTACAGCGATTTCACCACTGAAAATAATAATAAGTGTGATTAATGTTAATTAACAACTACACAGTAATGTATGTGATCAGTAAAATAAATTATGGTGTACTTAGACAGTTAGCTTACCGTGAATCTTATGCCAGTTGCCATCACAAAGCGCAAACTTGTTGCCGAGCGAGTAACTTGCTCGGAACGGTCCGTTGCCGTTCTCAACATTGGCAACTACTTCGTTCTCCAGGAGTTCCAGAACTAGATAGTCTTTCTTGCCGTGGACACTGAGGAGCAGACCCGTGCTGTTACGCGGACGAATCTCCATCGATATAGAAACTTCGTCACCTACTTTGAAGTATTCAAGGAGCTGCAACAAAACAAAAATGTTACTTATTGTAGTTGCGGACTAGCTTACTGACTTTTATATAGACTCAATTCTAATAATTACTGAGAATTTTCCAAAATCGGAAAGACAATAAAATTAACCTTGACCCACTCGTCAATAAGACAACAGAACTAACACACATTGAATTTCCTTGTGCGAAGTGCTAAGAAGTGACATTTTTGCCAGAGTCCGTATTCAGAAAAATACAGCTTGGGTTTCTTCCAAGTCTCTATAGAATAGGTTGCGTGTAGGTAGGCGTACTCCATCGTCGATCACACCATTGCTTACCACCAAGCGAGATAGTATCCAAACGCCATTCATTAAAATGATGCCCATAATATTTTTAAAACGCACCTTCAAGTAGTTGCTCTGCATGTTTGTGGACGCTCCGAAGTATACTCCATCCTCCACGTTGTCGGAGCAGCGCAGGGAGTTGACTCGGTACGACACGTCGGTCACGTGCTGTCCGTTCATCATCAGACCCTTCAGGCAACCCTTGAATGGTTGGTAGAAGCCCTGCAAACCAAAAAATTAATGAGAAATTAGACTTAGAATTTTGCAGAATACTCATAAGTAAAGAGGTCTGGTAAATTTCAATCACTTTGACTGGATTTTAGTGTTACATTGTTCTCGCACAATCCAAACAGCAAAACTATGTAACTAGTAAATTGTATTGTGAACCTGATCGAAAAAGAGTAACCTATGGAGTTTCTTGCTAGTTCTTCTCCATAGGAATCTACACCTTGGAATGAGCAAATAGCTTCACTTGTAATTTTCCTTTTGTTGACGTTCAAAAGTGCCATTCTGGCCTAATTGAAATAAATGATTTTGACTTTGACTTTGAAATTACGTAATGATTTAAGTTTAACGAAAAAAGAAATTGACTGCACGGTTGGCGCGGTGTCTAGGCGACCGGCTGCCGTACAACGTGTAGCGAGTTTCCGCACGGAGCAACTGTTTGTGTGATCATGTGTTTGTGAACTTGTATGTTTGTAAACGCAACTACGACACAGGAAAAAGTCCTAGTTGGGGACAACGCTTAAAAAGCAAGTTCTTAAACCTATTGGTAAGAAACGTTTTGACAGCATTGATAACAACCAATACCTAATAAACCGATGGTGTCGCCACGTACCTGAAGATTATTGAGGATGTTCTGGTTGAGGTCCCTGAGACCTCCGTAGTAGAAAGGTGCGGCGAGTGTCGCGGGTGCGCCGCAGATGGCGCTGGTCTCGCCCACCAGCTCGGAGTCCACGGCCAGCTTGCCATGCCCACCGCTGCGGGTCAGAGTGACCACGTGCCACTCTGTGTCGTTGTATGTCTGCGTCGACGAGATCTGTGCTGTCTCACCACCACAGTTGAACGCGAAGTGCAGCTGAAAAATTACAAATTAAATTAGAAGTCTGCAATAAAATTACACATAGGCATCATACATTAAAGTTCTCATCAATTAATTAAAAAGAAATCAAGAACAAAGGAACATGTTTTTCACGATACTCTTTAACGTGCTTTAATACTGCACTAAATAGGACACTAATAACATTTTACATCGACTTTTCTTAAATTTTAAGGAACTTCTAAATTAAGATTGTGGATTTCATCAACCTGTAAAACATACCTAAGTACAAGTAAGTAATTGGTGCTTCTTAAAGCTAAGTCACATTTAGTTAAGAGGGTTAAGAGTTGGTTGGTAAAAAACGGCCATAAGAAACAGTAAAACATATTCTAAGTGTGCATACCTTGGCATCCTTCATGTAGAAGGCGAGGAACTGCGTCGGGTCTCTGTCAGCGGCGGCGTAGAACACGAGGCCGCCGTGCTGGTCGAACGTGCGGAACGAGATCGTCAGGTCGAAGCCTTGCAGGTGACGGCCGGGCAGCTTCGAGTACTCGATGCGACTGTCGTTGCGAGTACCTGAGGGATAACACATTTTAAGTTATTAAATGCCGACGGATAATAGCCGAATACAAATCCTTCGCTAGTGTCGGTGAAATTATTGAACGCGGTAGTAGGTACAGTTTCGACACGAACCATGACCAGATTTTGACATCATCAGTCATGTGTATTCTCTCATTATGATAATGTAAGAAATCTGTCATAGAGTATTTCTCAACACAAGCAAGTTAATAATTTTCAATGTTGCAGTTTAAGTTTTGAACTCTAAATACCTATATTTAATAAGTGATACTTTGTCGTTAGCAGGGAATCTCAGAAGAGATAAGTGCATGATCAATGTACGACTACTTTGGCCGATATCACTTCTTATACTTACATGAACTGAACATAATATATATATTACGTTTTTGCCTGCTCGGTCGGTGCATGCGCAAGGTTTTATTTATGCGGAACAGCTCTTTGTGTGATTCACAGATTGTTGTTTCGGGTTTGAGTGTCATGTGAATTTTAAAGTTTAAAAAATCACGTCACAAAATAAGACGTCACCAACATCTTAAGTGCTCACTTCTGAGCAGTGGCTTCTCTCACATGGAGAAGGAATTAGCATTAATCACCATGCCTACCTGCCCGTGGCAAATTAACGATTTTAAACTCTGTTTACAAGTCCAGACTAGTTCATGATGTTTTCCCACACAATACTTCAAGATACTAAATGCACTCACCAAATCTGTAACCCACGTCAGGATCTCCGGTGGTGTAGAAGTGATCATACGCGAGTGCGCATCCCTGCTCCGGCTTGGGTGGTGGCCGGCGGGTGGTGGTGGTGGTGGTGGTAGTGGTGGTGCTGGTGGTAGTCTGCGGGGCTGGGGTCGTGTCCTCGGCCACTGGCACTGGGAGCACCTCGTTGTGTATCAATGCTTCTTCTTCTATACCAGTAAATAATGTGTCAATTAGAAAACATATAGTACTAATTTATAGAATGATGTAAAATAGGGAGGTACTTAGATAGTGGCATCTTAAATTGTCTTATTATTGATTACTCAAGAGTTCTATAGCTCAAAATGTTATTCACATTTTGCTATCTATTGTCATTATCTATCTGACAACTAAATCTAACTATGATATTATTAAGGTTCAGATTTCGAAATCGTAGTCCAGAATTTTATCTTGTCGTCAGTATTTCAGTCCAGAACTGGGTAGATGTTTAACCCACCGTATGCTACGGAACAAGCGAGAGAAAGTTATCAGGTACCTCTATTGGGTGGTGCTTCGCTGGGGCCCGGTAGTCCGGGAGTGGGCAGCACGTCTGGGCGCGGAGTAGCTGCCCATTGTGCTTGATCTGATGACAACAACATTTCGAATGATGAACTTACCATTCAAAAGTAAGTAATTTCTTCATAATTACAGATAATATTATAACAAACTGATAAATTGAATACTTAGGTACTTTCATATTAGTGTAAGAGGAGAATGTTCACGTAACTATGGAATTTCGTCTTACGTTGTTGCACAATAAATCTTTATTTATTATAGACCATGCTTATTATATTATCGAATAAAAGCGTTCATTTGGATGGCTTTATGAAGCGGCTGGTAAGGGCGACTAACCTGGGCTGAGTCCTCCAGTAGTGGTGGTGGTTCCGCAGCGACCGAAGGTGGTGCTGCTGTTACTGAATGGTTCGAGCAGGTTGAGCACGCGGCCGTTGATGGTGGCGTCGGCGATGCAGCCGGTGAACGGAGTCTTGGAGCCGACCTTCCCGCCCACCACGTAGCCTGGCTGCACGCCGCCCACGAATAGCACCCCTTCCAGTATGTGGAGCGGCGCTGGCGCTGTGTCCGTACTGGGAATTGCAAAGAACAAACATTATGACAAGTAGTTATGCAGTTAAAATTCTTTTTAAGTACTTTAATGCTTGGCAAAGGTGCCTTTTTACCTGTAAGCACATTTCGGCATCTTCCCTTCAATATAGGCCAGAGATAAAAATAGTTATAGTGATAGAACCTTCTTTGTGTAACTTGAATGAGCCGATTCGACTGACGAAGTACCTACCATACTCTCATAGAACATTGTTACACCACCATGCAGTGGTGACGTAATGTCAGTGTCTTTTATCAGTTTCGGATACCCTGTCTACTGATTGATCACTGAGCCATCATTTTCCACGATGGTGCTATTAATCACTCGATATATCGTACCGAAAATCCCCAAAATATGTTCATACAAAAGTAGTCTCTAATCATCGGAAATAAGGTCTGTACTATAGAGTATAGTCAGTGGACAGCCGTTACCGGTGACCGCTTGCGGATTGTCTATGAGGTCTCCTAAATCATTTGTGACTCCGCTGGTGATGCAGGTGTCTGCTTACGGTGACCGTTTATCAAAAAGCTAATTTAATTATTATATCTTCGGTTTACTCACGTAACTATTTGACGAGGAACTCGACTAGTTTCAAGCTATGCTAGAGGCTCATATTCATGAACAGCATTCCGCGACATGCGACGCGGAATGCTGTATCGTGGCATAATAATTAATTAGTATGTCTCAAGAAAGTTTTAATATAAACTTAAACTTATTAGCTATTAATAGTAGTACTAAAATAAGCTATATAGGTAACAGATAGATTACCTGAAGTAGTCGTAGTCATCGACGACGAGCCGCAGCGCGTTGTTGTTGTGTGTGACAGTGACGACGTGCCACTGCGAGTCGTTGTACGTGCTCAGTCCCGTGTCCAACTGCTCGCGTTGACTCATCAGTACCAGTTTACCTACACGCAACGTGTATTGTCAGGAGTTTGTTAAATATCTAATATATAAAATTCTCGTGTCACAGTTTTCGTTGCCATACTCCTCCGAAACGGCTTGACCGATTTCGATGAATTTTTTTATATGAGAATTGGCCAACATCTATTTTTCATCCCCCTAAATGTTAGGGGTAGTCCACCCCTAAATTTTTTATATGACAAAACATTTGACAAAATTTTTTACATGTTATGTTATGTTATGTTATGTTATGTTATGTTATTTTTTGAATTCTTCGGTTTGGTTAAGGAGGATGAATCTGACCATCATTTCTGGAACAGTTTCGCCCGTTGCGTTATTACAAAGGGACTGCTAAAGTACTTAATAACAAAAATGACGATACCAAGTTTAGCACTTTGTCCATGGACATGAGCAATAAGGTGACTGTCGGAAATTGTTTTTATGCAAAATTATTGAAGGTGTGCTGAGTGAGAGCAAAATTTTCATATGCAAACTATTATTTGCAATGCATTTTAATACCTATATGCAACTACAAAACGTGGATAAGGTTTCAAACAAGAGATATTCGCAATTCATCATATACAAATTTACCTTTGATGAGTGAGAGTGATATGCTGTCTGGCATGGCGGTGGTCTGCGTGCGACTAACGTAGACGAACAGTAGCCCGTCAGGACTGGACGTCTTGAACTTGAGCGTCAGTTGGAGGTTCTCTGATGTGATGTCCATGTACCGGAGGAAACTGTCCTTGCCAGATAGTGATACCAGTGATGCGAACTGAGGTGGATACAAAATCAAGGTAATATATTAGTTACAATTACTATACCTTTTTTTAAATGCCAAATACATAAATTTGGTTGAAAATAAACAAAGTTAAGCTTAAAAAAGAATTTGTTAGGTGATGAGATAGTCGTTAATTTTAGACTCTCTAATAGATTTGCTTTGTCTGCTCACCTGACAACCGTATGCAATACCAATGGACTCCAGGTTATCGCTGAGATCGATGTTCACGCCATCAATGCTGATCTGTCTCATACAGCCGTCGAACCCAGCGCTGGTCACTTGTATGATGCCCTTATTGTCTCCTCCGAAGTTCATCGTGTCGAGAGCCGTTATCGAGTCCTCAGTTCCAGCAGAATCCATCTTTATAATCTCTCTGTCCACCTTCAAGGAATACTTGGTGAGGATGCGTGCAGCGTCCAGTCTGTGCCATTTGCCATCGTTGTACGAGTTCGTGGTGCCGATTATCAGAAGGTCTTCAGGGTTACCCAACGATACCTAGAAGTAAACAATTACATTAGAAATAAGTACATAAAATTAGAAAAGATCGGAATTTTGTTTGATCGAACAGGTTAATGTAAGTGTTAATGTTTGGGACGTTATTTGGCACTCCTGTAGGTAATAAACTATTCCAAACGTCTGCTACATAATGATGTAGCGAATTTAGTTGAAACTCCTTAAATATGCGTCTGTTCGTAGTCAAAAATACTTATCGATGTGAATCCCGTGACTAAAGAGTTACTATGAAAAGACGTGGAATTTGTATTAGAATGCTACCAGAATCTCACCTGTAAGAACACTCTTCCATCTTGCATTTGAACAGAGAAGAAGTAGGCTCCTTCACCAACGAGGTAGATGAGACCATCGGGAGCGTATGTTCTGAAGAACAAGAGGATCTGGTTCTTCTGTGGCGTGAGGTAGCCGCGACCAGGCATCGTCACGTGCGCGCGTCCATTGAATCTGTACTCCTGTGGACCAGTGTGCGGAGGCAGCAACTTGTCCCTGACGGAGAACAAAGGAGGTTACATTAAGCACACCATTTTAAGGAAAAAGCTCATCGCAATATCTACTATTTGGGCTCAGAGATTCCTATGAAATTGTGACACTAGGTTAATCGCAGTACGATCAAAGATGAATACTATGACAATAAGGACGTTTTTTGTGCTCAAAGAACAAAGAAAGTAACATGAAATTAACATTAAAAAAAATTTCCTTAGATACATTTTTTAGACTTACCTCTGTCTGGCTCCCTTCAAGTTTTCGGCTCTTTCGAAGTTCCATAAGCCGACAGGAGTATCTCCGATCATGAGCTCCTCGATCTGTCCTTCAAAGGCTGGGAAGCTGACGGACTGCAGCTTGGCGTCTGATGGAGCTCCTCCCACGTACAACTTAGACTTCTGGCGATCAAGGTTGAAGATAGTGTGCTGGCCTGGTAATACTGCGTCCTTCGAGTGTACATAGTCAGCAGATCCATTGTCAAGACTTTCGCGGATTGATAGCTTCACATTGCGTCCGACCCTATTTTTGACAAAATAATTGATTAGTACCTAGATGATGTTGTGAACTAGAAGCTTGAAGAGAAGACCATTTTAACGATTGATTAAAAATAAATTATGCCAAAATTGGTTTTGAATACACATTGAATAAATTTTAAAAGGCTTCATCGTTTAACTGAATTGTGGATGATATTGGTTTACCTGTCGACGATGACCTGGTACCAGCGGTTGTCTGCAACGAACTTGTCGCTGCCGATCCTGGCGGGCTCACGACCTGACTCTGCACTGTCACCAATGTCCATCTTCAGGTAAGGGTAGCCATTCTCGACACCCACTACCATAAAGTCGTCCTGAAATAGATTTATATTAAATAAATGGGTTTGGACATTTTAAGTTCATTAGAAAAGCTAAAAAACTGAACAGACATAGATGAGAGATTACATTATATTAAGTAAAACATTAATTTTTTTGTCATTTCAGTGTTAGTATTGTGGTCGTCTTTGTACTGATGATACTTCAGTATGAATATGCTTAAGCAAAAACTTACAGATTTAGTTCGTCTCAGCATTGTGTCCTTAGGATTGCCGAGGTATAAGATCAGGCCATCCTTCTCTTTGGTCTTGAAGTAGACGGAGACGTGTGTGGAGGTGGACATCTCGTCGATGGTGTCCGGTAGCGGGGGCTGCAGTGTCGTACGACGGTCGAACGTCACTCCCACTTGGATGCGATTCGCTACTGTACGTGCCTGGACAATAGAGACAAATATTTCAGTTAATAAGTTTTTAAAGGTACACAGTTACTAAAAGATGTATTGTCACCTCACACTTTTTGATTAGATGTTTGTATGATAAAAAGATTGACTCACCTGTTCAATAAGTTCCTTCAGCTTACGTAGTTTCTCATCGGCTTCCTTGCGCCTGTGCTCAAGGTCATCCTGTCTGACCTTGACAGTCTGGTACGTTTGTGTGATTGCAGGGTTCAGCTTATCGATATCCTTTACTGAGGGTCGAAATAAGAATAATATAAGATGTAATACAGATAGTCTTAAGTATAATATTTACAATGTAACTTCTGGTTGGAACTTTGGTCGAACGAAACCAATCGTTTTTGCTCTACAAGATTGGTTCCCCTTGTATGTAGTAATAATATGAGTGAGCCATGAATAAAACACAGTCTTAGACTCGAGCTGTTACTGAGGAGAAAGAGCTTGGCAGTATAACTACTTACACAACATGAAGAAAGATGAAGAAATAATAGTTTATTCAGGAACATGCATTTGAATGGTGTAAAACTTACAGGACAAAAATCAGCTCATATTATTATTATACAATTTCTGCTTATCATATTATATTATTGTATTATAAACTAACCTAAATTATCAACATTGGCAGCCATTTTCTGTGCTTCGTCAGCAAGTTTGGGCAATGTCTGTGCCCATTCCTTGCTAGCGGCGAGGTCAGCTCCAACCTGAGACATGATGTCCAGCGTCGATTTCACCGTGGAGTTAACCTGATCAGCCTTAACGACTTCATCAGCAAGCGAGAACGGTGGGGGCTTGCGGAGTGAGCTGTAGAACGAAGACAATATAAGTTAAAACAGCATATTCTATAATGGAATTATGTAGAATGATTTCAAATTACACGGAAGACAGTATGGGTGAATATATTTCTTCCTTTTCAAAATAGGGGATTCAGGTATGTAGTAATCACTCCCTTAGTTAATTCAGCAATCCTGCTTGGATTATTGATGGCGGGTGAGAGATTTCAATACAATACAATTACAATCCAGTTATTAAGTAAGTTCAGTTAGTAATACAAAATTTTCTAACTCACAATTGTATAGCATTATTGTCATCGTCTGCGGATCCCATAGTCTTCAATGCTTGCGATAGTTTTTCTTCTGCCTTTGTCAAGTTTGGACTCAGAGCTTGTTCGACGTAGTTTTGAGCTTTCGTAGCACCTTCTAGAAGACTTCTAGATCTGTCACGAGCTGGGACCACTCGCTCGTTGAGGACATTAGTCTGAATCAGGAGTTATAAATTGTCAGAATACATAAATGAAAATGTATTCAAAGGGACATAATCTGGTAAGGTGTCATCAGGAAGATCTATCAGGTACGCTTGTGAAACAAAGAAACAAGCCTTTGCTGTCTCAATGTTGTTGGAACATGTTTGCATTGTTTTCCCTAAAAAACAGAGGGACTAAATAACAATGAACTCATATGATTCAAATTCGGAAATCTACTGTATCCACCTACACGCAGAATAAATATTAAAACAAAACTAAGTCAGAGTTTGATGAAGTAATAACTACTGATCTAAGATAAACTAAACAAAGAAATAATTTAACTATAGTAAGTGGTGATTCTCGTGGGTACTCGTACGTATATGATGAACCTCTATTCATATTATCTCTCGAAGATAAAGGAACTGAGGGCCAAGCACGAATAACTATCGCATTCGTATTGTAACAGTATCGAGCGATTTAAGCGTTCTGATTGGTTGGTTCACTTGAGCCGGCCAATCAGAGCGCCGAACGCGCTCGATACTATTACGTTACGAATGCGAAAGTTATTCGTGCTTGGCACTCAGTTACTCGTTGGCGTACCACAAAAGAAACCGCTATTTTCATGATTTGTGAAAGAGAGGCTTGCCTACCCTACCTAGTAGCTATAGGCTATAGTTTAAGAAAGTTGAGAGTAAGTGTGTGATTGATACGTACCACTTGTGTGATGTTCCTGACACCCTCCTCGGCTTCATCAGCAGCTTTCTTGGCGTCTCCGATCTCCTGTACGATGGATGAGTACGCGGAGGCCGCGGTGTACGCGTGTTGAGTTCTAGAGTTGTTGTTCTCACGCTCAGCTAATGCTCGTAGATTGTCCGCCTGCAGATAATTAAGGAAGATATTAGGGATTAACTTCAAATCGTTTGAAGTTCAGTTCATCACACGTCTCTTATTAAACATACCTTCTACATACAGTTCTAATGAACGGTTTTACCAACGACCCCTAAACTATCTCTTAGCTAAAAGTTACTTAGTATGACGTAGCATCTAAACTAACCCCTTATTTGTACTGATAAGTGTCAATTATAGGTTCGCGATAACCCAAATGACGAATGCCACTAAAATGACGTTATTTATGACGATATTTATTAGCTTGCGTTTCCTAAAAGTTGGTAAAGGTTGGTGAAAACGAACATATTCGTTGTGTGTAACGTTTGAAGCTGTTTAGCTAGTAAAAAAAATTGGTTGTCTGTAAAGTCGGTATACGGCCGAAAGTTTTACGTGACAACGACTTTGAGTGGTAAAATAATTTTAATGTGAATATTCATTCGTATAGTAGGAAGAAGGATGTATCTCTCTCACTCTCTCTCTCGCTCTGTCTCTCTCGCTCTTAGGCGGGCTAACTGTGCTCGAGTGGAAGGGACGCGTGCCTTTCACTTTTTATGTCTGTCTCTCTCGCTCTTAGGCGGGCTAACCATGCCCGAGTGGAAGGGACGCGTGCCTCTCACTCGCTCTCATTGTGAGCGCATAACGTGAGCGGAGCGTAACGCAGTTTCTTGAAGTGTCACCCGGCAAACCAATTTATAAGACGTTGTCACGTCAAAATACAGTAGGTACTTGTTCAAGTAAACATAATAACTTGATCAAAATATTATTTGGAGTCATATACTCACCCTGTATCTCAGCATGTCGGTGTGTTGTCTAGCTACTTGAGTCAGGTTCCTAAGTTCGGGCAGGTCCTTCTCAAGGTCCACGAGACGGTCCACCATGTTCTGGTTGGTGGTGCCAATGTTCTCCAACGCCTTAGTAGAGTTCTGTACTATAGTAGCAGCTACCAAGTTGTGGAATGTTCCGTTACCAATGTCGTAGCCAGCGTCAATGAGATCTTTCATCGCCGCGGTGTTCAGCTTCGTTACAGACGTCACTTTGTTACCGAATTTAGATTGTCTGGGGAAGAAATTACAGTTGATATTGTAATGTTGTAAGTCATAGGTACAGATATAGGAGTTATAAATTCTATTATAAATAACAACAGCTAGTTCTTTATAATAGCGACTTCGTCCGCGTAGAATATGATTCCTGTTCTATCCCATGGGAGCATTTAATCGGGATAAAACGTCCATACCCTGTCTGAGTGTCTATATACCAAAGTTCACCAAAATCCGTTCAGTAGTTTTAGCGTGATTGACGGACAAAACATCCAAACAAAGAAACTTTCACATTTACAATATTAGTGTGATTATAATTGCGCTCATGTTATAGACATTAGAATTATAAACGACAGAATTGAGAATAGATTATTTTTATTAACCTTTACTACTAGGTATTGGCTATGTGCGCGACGGTGGCGACGCGTAGCGATTACAACATTTGCGGAAGCTGTCAAATAATAACAATTTAAACAGTATAATTTTCTATGCAAATATAAATATAAACCAAAGATAAAATAGTATTGTTGACATTATTTAAGTGCAATTTATTCAATAGTTTTACTGTAAAATGAAAATAATAATAAAAACCGGGTTTGCATCATCTGCATTTGTTTCCAATTTCTGCCGTGTTGTGCGCTGCAGTCGTTATCTGTCCGTCACTACTCGCTTTGCACATAGCCAATAATCGGTGATAGGTTACGTATAGGACAAAAATCTTGTTACACTTTTCATTGAAGTCAAGTTGAAGGGAAATCGCAAAACTAATCTTATTTACAAAATTGTGTAACGTACATACCTATTCTTGGCGTTGAGTTTCTCCGCACTGTCAGCTGTGTGCTGGGCCAGGTCTGTGTACTGCAACATCTCATCCAACTTGGACTTGAGGTCGCGAGTGTCGTTCACAAGGACGTGGAATTTCTGGAAAATAATAAAAAATGTCAACAATAGGAATTATTTTTAAGATTTTGCATGCATAGTTCGGAAATGTATGGATTGCGCTATTGCTGCTGCTATAAGAGTAGCTGAAGATGCTTTTAAGGTGGCGAGACGTTACGACAACGAATCTCTATAATAGAGCCTTGCCGCCTACGCATGAGATATTATACAGCACTATTGTAAGCGCAAACACTGGAGGACTAACAATACTGATGTGATGGCTGTGCATCTTAGACCATAAGGCTCTTCAATATTTTGGAATGAGCACCTAGCTTCACTGACAGACTGACTGACAGACTATATTTTTATTTTGTATTTGTTGACGTTTCAAAAGTACCAAATTATGGTTTGATTGAAGTAAATGTTTTGACTTTGACTTTGACCTAATAGATGCACGTCGACTCAATCAATTTGTAACACAACATTACTATTCATTCATTCTATTTTGTCATTATGTCTACAATAGGTAAAATAGTGTACATTATAGAAGTCTTTGCATTGCTTACCTGTGCCTGCTCGTTTACAGGCAGGACGAAGAAGTTCATTCGCTCGACCTGCATCGTTGCATTCACGAACGCACTTTCTGCTTGCTGTTTCTTTGGCGCTAAGTCTTTGGCTGTCGACACGAAAAAAAAGCTTTTAATTTGTGCTCTATAGATGTTAAAATGGAACAATGACACGGACAAATCTAATGCTTTTTTTACAGGCACAGAATAGAGTACCTGTTGTACCTATGTGTAGGTACTACTGATCCCAAAATATGAAGCTAAATCAAACCGACTGTTTACATAAAACTACGAAATCTGCTTTAAATAGGAAGAGTGATGCTTCGGCACGAATAAATGGCGATCTGTTGCTTACCATCAGACGATCAGTTTCCAATTTGCTCACCCTATCTCATAATAAAAACACCACAGCACGAAACTCACCATTAATGTCCTCCTTGATCTGCCTGGCCTCAGCCAGTGCGCTGTCGACCTTGGGTTGTTGGCTCAGCTCGAGGCCGGTGGCCAGGTCTGACACATGCTTCACCTGAGCCTTGGCCTTCTCGCTACTATCACGAACTGACGCCAATATCTTGTCTGCATCAGCCGCTAAGTCTGCTGCCCTTGTAATTTGCTTGTCTGAGTCTGTCGCTGCGAATTCCGCCTGACGGAAAATTTTGAATTTTATAGAAAGCTTCTAAAATATTTCATGGTACTTGGATATCTATTAAATTTTAGGCTATGGCCAGGTTGATTAGCTGACGTCCCTATTAATCAATTTTATTAGTTAAGGGAAGTGATTTATCACCACTACTCATTTATGAGCCACTGAGCAGCGACCACACAGCCCCAGGTTAATAAACACGCACAGGAATCATATTACTGCATTCTACTCCAGTGGCTTTGCTTAACTTGGAACACTACAATAGCTCCAATGTAAATAATATAGTTATAGATATATTTAAACACCTTGAACGTAACCAAAAGAGGGACATATGAAGGGATTTAAGAATGTAGAAGATGTTATTCAGAATCGTGCCAATTGACGATGACTATATATTGTACCACTCACCGATCGCAGAAGGTTTTTGGCGCTGTTTTCCAGAGTCTTGACGGCTGTAGTAACATCAGCAACGTCCACGTTCCTCAGTTCCCCAACCCTTGGCCGAAGAGTTTGTGTCTGGTTCGCGATGTAGTTCAGCCTTTGTGTTGTGAAGAATGAATCTGCTTTGTCCTGCACGTCATATACATTAGGATTATTTTAACCGAGAGAATTAATGACTATAAAGTTTATGGTTTTATAATGCGCACAGAAATGGTTCCTACTTTCACTATTTTCATACACGTCGTGTAAGCAAAAGGATGCAATGTCAAGTGATTTCTCTCGAAATGGAGCCATCCAGTCCAAAAGGTATTATAATTCTTTGAATCATACATATGAATGGCTTGTATTACCAATTGTATTTGTGTCATTCTTTCTTACCTTGAAGTCAGTAGTTTCGTTGGCCAGAAGCTCGCTCATATCTTCGATGGTGTACAGCAGCGCGTCCGTGCAAGAGTCGCATTCCAAGCATCCTTCATTTGGTATCAGCACCCATCTGGAGATACATCGCTACATTGTAACTGGGTATACGTTGACTAGGTATTTGGAAAAACGGTAGGTTAAACATGAGATATGAAGTTGGGATCAGTATCGGCGCAAACGCCTCTTTGCTGTGGGCCCATAAATATTTTATACATACATATACATTCATTTCAAATTCAAAATGCTCAATAAAAGCACAATGTTTATTATATGGAAGTATGCTCAGAATTTCAACAAACTGGTTTACAAAATAGAACATTTGCTTCTTATAAAAGGTATCCTGAGACATTGCATTGCTGACACAAAAATATCCTTAATGTAACGAGAAATAGAATATTAATGGCTTTACCTTTCTGGACATCTGTCGCACTTCTCTCCAACGACGCCGGGCAGACACTCGCACTGTCCGGTCGCGTTGCAGGTGAACCCGAGTGAGTAGCCAGTGTTACAGTTGCAGTCTGTCGGTAAATAACATCTTAGTGTAAAGGATGACGGGCAAACATGATGGAAAATGTACCTAGCGACCAATAACAACCACACGTGTCTTTAAAAACACTCTTCTCTTTCAATGACTATTATTTGTTATTACGGGGGCTAGTTTCAATTCCTTATATGGAATACTAGCTATTACCCACGGCTTCGCTCGCGTCACAAAAAAATAAAAAGTAGCCTATGTGACATATACCAATACACACAGCGCCATCTATACCAATACTTTTGTTTTTCCTCGGGAATATCAATTTTTTCCGGGTTAAAAAGTACCCTATTATTTAATCCGGACTTCTAACTTTACGTCTGCAAAAATTCGGAGCTATCGGTTGAGTAGTTACGGCGTGAAGGTGGAACAAACAAACTCACTTTCAGATTTATAATATTAGTAAGGATGTTATAGACACATACGTCATACGTCTGGTTGTTATTGGTTGGTAGGTACAATCTGTCCGTCATCCTTTATTCGTATTTTATGGAGATGGAACTCCATGACGTTGTATTATACAAATTGGTTCTTGATTGACGACCACGACTACATTATCAAGAGTGAAACGACTTAGAAGATGTGAACTTTATAGGAGAGATTCTTTATAGGAAAAGACCCGGTATGATCTATTGGTCAGCGTGGTTATTTGGCAAAATGTACAAAGAGAATGGAAGCTAAAGTTGTATGTAAGAAGCGTAGATAACAGATGGCGCTGTGTAGTTTCTGCTATCCCCCTTAGGATGAAGTCAGGTAAGTTTAATTATATGGCTAAGATTTAGCAGCTCTTCTATCATAATTCTCGATCCACGCACATTTCAGTTTGAAATATCGACAAATACGTCGATCCACAAGATTTTTACTTACTTAAATAGGTTTTATTTAATCTATACTTATAATAAATCTGTAGAGAGGTAAATTCTGTACATAAAATATATTTAAAAAATAACTATCAAGGTTAGGGATCGCTACTGATGCCAAAAATGCAATCAGTAAAATTTTTGTCTGTCTGTCTGTCTGTCTGTCTGTATGTTCGTTATGGAAACAAAAACTACTCGATGGATTTTAACGAAATTTGGCACAATTATTCTTCATACTCCTGGGCAGGTTATAGTATACTTTTCATTACGCTACGATCAATAGGAGCAGAGCAGTGAAGGGAAATATTGGGAAAACGGGAGAAGTTACTCCATTTTTTAAACTTCCGTCGCGTGTGCAGGCTTATAGGTTAAAGCTGCATAGAAATCATGTATGACGGAAATATTCTTCTTAAAATTATATAAAAAATATTCCTCGACAGCATATGTCTATCTTTTATGGTTGACTCACAATAACACGTGAAACTCCAGATATTTTAGCCATTCGATGATTTCTGATTGTATTGTTCTACTCTAACGTTTACAATACTCATTCATAGACTTTACGCTGTAACTGAAAGGCCAATGGTTGAAATTAGCTTGACTCGATATTATAAATGAAAATATGTGAGTTTATGTGTATGTTTGTTACTCAGTCATATTAAAACGAGTGAAGGGACCGGTATAAAATTCGGAACAGATGTAGATTATGGTCTGAAGTGATACATAGGCATTTTACCCCTGGGACCGCGGGCGAAGCTGCTGGCAGAAGCTAGTATAATAATATTTTTAATAAGTATTCGAGTCTATCGTGATTCTGGATTATAGTACCTCTATATGACGATTAACATTAGACATGGGTAAAGTTTGTCGCAGCTCATGAGTCGTTTCCATATACCAGGTATATTAGAGACATGAGTATATTAAGTCGCAGTGTCTATTGACATTATTGTAGTGTTTAAATACAATTTGATTACAACATCGGCACTCACGGTCGCATCCTTCCTTCGTGTAGTTCCAGTATCCAGCCGCGCACTGGTCACAATGTTTACCCGTCACACCCTTCGAGCAACTGCAATCATACAGAACACACAATTTTGTTAATACATAATAATAATAGTCGCCGGTTTGTGTGTCCATTACATTTATATTAAAGTTGTCTAAAGGGCCTCTGCGCAGTTGGCTTCGGCCCCTCGTACGCCTCCCAAATGACCGGGACCCTGTAGTCCCGTGAATGGTAAAGACACACATAATAATAAAAATAATAATAAATCTTTATTAGGCATTCCAGTGTTTACAGTAAAAATTTACAATGACAGCCGCACTAGGCAAAGCCTGTATCGCGGCTATCAACAATACGAGTTCCTTAGGACTAATACGATCAAAATACTAATACAAAAAAATTAAGTAAAATATAACAAAAATATACCAATACTTATGTCGGAATACTCAAACGCTACTCAATTTTAAGTCGTGCTTAAGTATAGTTCTGTCTCCACAAATTCTTTGTAAAATGACAGAGATGGCACGATATTTAAGCACGACTTAAAATTGAGTAACGTTTCAGTATTCCGGCATTAGTAACATAGAAAGTAGCAGCATTAACTAAAATTACGAGTTACTCACGTAAATATACTGAGAAAAGCTCTACTAGTTTCGAGTCACGGAGGGACTCTCCCTCATGAGCAGCGTGTGCGGTCGCGACATCGTTGTTAATTCAGCATGTCTCACGGTAGTTATTATAAAAACAAAGTTTGTTTGGTTGTTTAAACGCGCTTTTCTCAGGAATTACTGGCCCGATTTGAAAAAATGTTTTTGTGTTGGATAGTCCACTTACTGAGGGAGGACCGACCGTAGCGTGATATTTTGTAGCCTATATAATATGGTATACCATGCTACGATAAATAGGAGCTGAGCAGAACTAAACCGCGCGAATATAGCTAGTATCTTATAAACGTAAGCACTTACTTGCACTGTCCAGTGCTGAGGTCGCACTGAGAGGATACTGCAGCAATGCCACAGTCGCAAGGAGTACATCCCTGTCCACTGCTGAGTCCCCAGTGGTCCGGCGCGCACTTGTCGCATCGGTCACCGATCACTCCCGGACGACACACACACGTACCAGTCGCCGGGTCACAACGCTCCATACCGAATTCATCACAACTACACGCTATTTACAAAATAAAAACCTTTGTGAGACAAGCCGGTCATACTGTTTTTTTTATTGTTTTTTTAAAAAACCGTTGCCCCACATTAGGATTTTCTCCTGTGTCGTGGGTGCGTTTACAAACATACAAGTTCACATACACATCACACCCAGACCCGGAACAACAATCTGTGGATCACACAAAGAGTTGTTCCGTGCGGGAATCGAACCCGCGACACGTTGCACGGCAGCCGGTTGCCCAGCCACCGCACCAACCGCTTATGTAACCAGCAGCTGTAGCCAAATGCCATTTAGCACTTGTCTACTAGTAGAATAGAAAACCTAATTTAAATGGAATGGGGATGATGACAGGGTATGAAAATTAAAAATATAATTAGTCCGTAAGTTAGGTAATGAAAAAATATTAGACACGTATATTTTTATTTTGTCGTATAATAAAACAATACTTAGATAAAACGAATCAAAGTTTAGGAGTGGGGGCTAAAACGTCATTCCTTAGTATAAAATGTACTGAGAAGTGACGTCACGCGACATTTCAAATCAATATATCTTCGAAACTATTCGTTTCTGTGAGAAAATAAAAAATACGTGTCTAATGTTTTTAAATAATCTATCAGACGGACATTAAAATAAAAATTAGTCGTCTACCCCATTGCCGTAAATTTTTACATTTTTCAGTGTCATCTCCATACATTTAATTTTCTACTCTCTCGGTAGATAAGCGCTAAAGTGGCGTTTGGCTAAAGGCAATGAGCTGCATTCAACTTAACCGGTTGGACTTCGTTTCAAATCAGGAGTAAGAACGCGGTAGTTTTTAATCATTGAGAGTCTGACACTCCTTTTCGCCTTACCCAAGGCGGGAGAAGTCAATAGATGATTTACCCTCCTTAAAACACCGTCCAATGTAACTGTAGCAAGGACATACAGTGATCCCTGATCACTAAGCACTAGTCTTGTGATAAGGCCAGTCCTAATTGTTTTTGTTCCAACAAATGCCATTCAATAAACGGAACGAATAATGAAACAATGAAACTTTGTCACAATTAACTATATAGTTAAAGATTATATATCTAGAATATTAGACAGGGCTTCTGCATTTGCTTTATCAAGTAAAACAAAGAAGTATTTAGGTAGGAGAGACAATAATGCGTCGGTCCAACGGCCGAAATGAATGACTTATCTCAGTCAAAAATTGATCTCAAACCAAAGATTTGGGATTGAGATTGGTTACTAATACATACATACATACATAACATCACGCCTTTTATCCCTGAAGGGGTAGGCAGAGGTGTACATTATGCCCCTGTACAATGTAACACCCACTTTTCACTATTTATGTTATGAGTCCCATGTAATAGGGGGTGAGCCTATTGCCATATACCGGGCACAATTCCAGACTCCGTGCTACTACTAGGAATTTTTTAAAAACCCAGTAATACTTTGCCTGAACCCTTGCCCAGTAGTCGCACTTTTGACCACTCGGTCAACGAGGCAGTCTGTTAGTAAAATGATAAAAGAAAGTATAAGTCTGTATATTTCCTTACCAGTGCAGTTCTTGGAGAAGATGGCGTCTCCGAAGAAGCCAGGAGCGCAGAGGTTGCAGGCGGCGCCGGCCGTGTTGTTGACACACTTGAGGCAGTCGCCCGTGATACTATCGCAGGAGCCAGGGTCGTTAATGTTGATGTTACCGGAGCAGTTGCACGGCTTGCAGTAATCACCTAATGTGAAAAATGTATTTTATTTAAATACTAGAGGACCCAACAGACGTTGTCCTGCATATCCACTTGAATGTATAAACAAAAATTCATTCAAATTAGTTCTACTGTTTAGGATAAATAAACTAAACATCGACTGCAGCGCCATCTGCCGGGCTGATTTGTGAATCTAAACCATTCCCAGATCCCCTTGAACACACACAAAAAGGTCCAGTCGTTTGAGAGAAGTTCAATGACATACACACTCACAGAAGAATTATACATAAATAAAGATATGTATAACATCTGAAGAGTGTTGTTGGAAGATAAGAGCTCCGAACGTGGACGAAAGTGGACGGACATCTTCGCAATACCCGTAGGTAAGAATAAATTACATTATTATCATAAAACTATAGGATAACGTTTTAAAAGTAGAAAAGAATTAGATTCCACGGCATGACGTAGGATTTGCAAAGTAATTAATTATTTTATATATCTACTATAGCATGCTCTGTTTCACATTCGAAGCCTATCCTACGATATGTTTTAAGCATTACTTTTACAATAGTACAAAGATTTTTTTTTTAAAAAAACATTGCCCCACACTAGGACTTTCTCCTGTGTCGTGGGTGCGTTTACAAACATACAAGTTCACACACACCCAGACCTGAAACAACAATTTGTGGATCACACAAAGTTTTGTTCCGTGCGGGAATCGAACCCGCGACACGTTGCACGGCAGCCGGTTGCCCAGCCACCGCACCAACCGTGCAGTCATGATCAAAGATTGAGTTTAAGTTTGTAAAAAAAATTAATTACAAAATTCATCTATTTCATAGAAACTCACCAATCTGTTCTGGTACTCCATAGTAACCAGCGGCACAGTACTCACACCTCGCCCCACCATACCCTGGCTTACACTGACACGAGATCAAGGATCCATTCTCTCTCAGGTCACAGCCGATGGCAAAGCTGTAAGTTATAACATGTTGTTGAGTGATATTATCAAACGAATACGAAAAAGAAGTGGAGACATAATACCTAATTGCATGTCACGACCGAGTGGTCGCAAGTGCGACTGTAGGGCCAGGGGTTTCGGGCAAAGTATTACTGGGATTTTTATTATTCTTAGTAGTAGCACGGAGTTTGGAATTGTGCCCGGTATGGGGGAATAGGCTCACCCCGTATTACATGGGACTCATAACATAAAAAGTGAAAAATGGGTGTTACATTGTACAGTGGCATTAAGTGCCGTAATGTGCACTTCTGCCTACCCCTTTGGGGATTTTTGGGTTTGGTCGTAATAATGGCAAATTTATTAAAATAAACATGATATACGTATAAGTAAGTAACTATACCTATTCGTATGAATGTTTTGCTACGCGAAAAACGAAAATGTCATGTGCAGGCATTTAAAGGCTTACTTTGATATTTTTTAACAAATTTATTCTTTTAAATTTTACATAGGTATTGCCTTAAATCTAAACTCGCCAAACTTTGACGTTTGATGGCGAGAGACGCTCATTTTACAAACTATTTCTATTATTATCATAATATGATGGGAGTCTTTTTTTTTCCTTAACATATAGGTGTAGGTACACTATAACCCAAGCAGGACATGAGAGACTTACTTGTTCGATACGTAAGGCAGTGGGCAGGCGCAGATGAGACAGTCGCGTGGAGTACCACCCGAGGCGTCGCCATGGTAACCGGGGATACATTGCTCACAGTGATCACCCATTGTGTTGTCCGTACATTCCTGATAGTGGGAAAAATCATGTTGACTCAAAATCAAAGAAGTAAATGACAGCTAGGATGATTGTGATAACAGCCTAACTAGTACTGACTAAATCATAATTAGTACTGACCTGAGTAGTGAGCAAAAAACTTACACTGAGATGAGAAAAGAAACAAGAATAAACTGAATAATAAAACAACTAAACAAGCCCAGATTGCAGTGAAATTTTGCATAATAAAGTAGCCAGTAACTAAATGTGACCAAAATGGTTTTATATGAACTGCATGTTGACTAAAGATTTGTGTTGATCACAAAAACCATTAAAGAAAAGAATATCTAACAATAATAATATCATTATCATTATTATATCAGCCATATGACGTCCACTGCTGAGCATAGGCCTCCCTAAAGGGGGGGGGGGGGTTTAGAAATACTCGCCACGCTTGGTAGGCGGGTTGACGAGATCAATTAGGTCACCGGAATTTCTGCAATGCTGCTTCCCACTCCTCAGTGTGTGGTCGCAGTTTTAGGACGTACTCGGGTCCGGGATAATGATAACTACAGCTTACCAGACAAACGCCCGTGTTGACGTCACATTCCCTGGAATGTCCGTTGCACTGGCAGGGCACACAGAAGCCGGAGCTCAGTCGGTAGTATCCCTCAGCACATTGTTCACAGGACAGGCCGCGGTATGCCTTGGGACACTGACACTCCTCCACAGACGACGCTCGCTTCGAGTACTCATCATACCCGTCGACTCCAACGTCTAACGTCACTGCTATTAGGCTGAAGAAATATTGTTACATTGACAAATCTGTTTTTACGAACAAGTATGGTTAACGGATTGGGGGACAACATATGGAGCACATTAGGGAGGATTTCCTCTCAATAGTTTTCTGTGAGTAATGAAAGCCTCAAGAATGGTTGTCTATCAAAGATAATCTAGTACTGCTAACTAATGTACTATATTAAAACATCAACAAATTCACCAAAAAAGGTACAATGATGGTGTCCCTGTTTATACACTTTTCGTCAGCATGCGTCATTACAAGTCCCATTATTAAATGTTTTGATGTTTTTAAAGTTATGCATAGTTTGCACAAATTGTGTATCGAATAATTATTACTTCAGTAGAACTGCACACTAAGTTTAAGGAACTGCAGTCGAGATTTCGTCCCCACAAATTAAAAGAATGACATCATCATACTCGAAGGTTTAACAAAGCCACTATCGAAGACTTAAAGACCACTCACCTGGTTTCAATAGACTGGTTCCAGTAAGTAGCTCTGATGTATATGCTGGTGACGTTGACGAGGGTGTTCATGAACTGTTCCCTCGTGACCGGTGTCCCGTCAGTGTTGCTGAACTCGTCTTCTGACAGTCTCACGGAGTGCATCCACGATACCTTGGAAGGTGGCTGTTCTACGCTGTTGTGGACCAGGTATCTAAGGAAATAATTATATAGAGTTTAGTACGTGTCAGATAAAAGTTCTGCAAGCAACTTCATATCATTTAGGCAATATTTAACGCGCGGTATGTTGCACAAAGAATCAGTGGAGGACAAACTTTTATTTAGTGACGTTGTTTATAGAGCGTTCCGCCCATTGCCTGTCATCAAAACAAACAATACACTGCGCGTCATATTGCGCACCAGTATGTACCCTCCCGCGATATTTTTTTTATGGCACAAGCCGGTAATCGAGCAGACGTATCACCTGATGGTAAGCAATCGGCGTCGCCCATGGACACCTGGAACACCAGAGGCGTTACAAGTGCGTTACCGGCCTTTTGGGGATTAGGAGTTTGAGGACCGTTGGGGATTCAGGGATTGGGGAGATTGGGGAAGGGGAGGGTAACCTCACTCACACGACGAAACACAACGCAAGCGTTGCTTCATGTCGGTTTTCTGTGAGGCCGTGGTATCATTCCGGTCGAGCCGGCCCATTCGTGCCGAAGCATGTGGCTCTCCCACGCTGTTAAATATACAAATAAATATCGTCAAAACATGTGTAGGGAATAATTAAACGACTCACCCATCAGAACCTCCAAGGATGACATCGGGTGCAGCAATCGCCCCCCCACTAGGGCCGGTCTCATAGAATATCGAGTAAGTCAGGTAACCTCCGTATGATGTCAGGCGTTTACCTGTGGATTATTATGTAGGAGATGTAAGTAGAACATTCGGGTCGGAACTCAGGTTTGATTCTTGGGTAGGGCGAGTAAGTATGCTTGGGTGTATTTTTTTTTTTTTATGGAATTGGAGGCAAACGAGCAGACGGATCACCTGATGGTAAGCGATCAGCGCCGCCCATGGACACCCGCAACACCAGAAGAGTCACAGGTGCGTTGCCGGCCTTTTAAAAAGGAGTACGCTCTTTTCTTGAAGGTTTGAAGGTCGTATCGGTTCGGAAATACCGCCGACGACAGATCACTCCACAGTTTTGCTGTGCGAGGCAGTATTAGATTTTAAGCATCAGGCATCAGTAATAAGTACGGAGTTTGGAATATCTTTTGCCTCGCTCTTCGAAGAGCAAAAACCGGATTACGAAATGATCAAAGATAGTTTGAACAAGAAACCTATTAGAGAAAATTTTATTGTACCTCTATTATAATTAATATGACTCATCAGAATTTTACACAAGTTCGTTTAAAAAACTCCAAAAACGATTTTCCTTACCGAGATAATAATCAGGAGCTCCAAAGTACACCACTTTCTGTCCGCTGTCGTCACCGATGAGGTCGGCGGTGATCACCGATTCATTCACCGATATGGGGTTGCCTCGTGGGAAGATGTTCAGCGTCCTATTGGCTTCTACATTCACCAGGTACCAATCACTCATGCCGTCAATCTACAGTACAATTGGAAGATTAGAATGTAATCAACTAGAAAGAGGTAATCAATCATATATTAAGTAAAATCGCGGGTTAATCACGTAAATATACTGAGAAAAGCTCTACTAGTTTTGAACCACAGAGGTGTTCTTCCTCATGAGCAGCGTGCGCGGTCGCGGCGACGTCGCGCAGCTCACTGATGAGACTGCGTTACACGCGATTTTACTTAATTTAAGTATGTCTCACGATAGTTATTATAAAAACAATCAATCATATAGGTACTATAAAAATAGACGATTTGACAGGAGCCATTAGAAAAAGTTTGTAACTTTGATCAAATCTAAAATTTTGAATCCCAAACTCGTTTCGAACTTCTTTACAATCGAGAATAAAGAATACGAACAAAAACATTTAAGACTTCAAGTGATTGCAAAAGGTTAAGTTACACATATATAAGTAGGTACAAAAATTGCATTAACTTTACATAGACGCACACATAATATAAATTAAAAGTTAATCTGCATACATATTACATTGTTATAGCGTATTACAGTGACAATAAATCCTATAGTTACTTACGCCTGCCCAAGACAGATAGGAACTGGTACACCGAGTGGTCTTCCCGAAGCAGTAGCACTTGGTACATCCATCAGGGTTCGAAGACTGCAGGTTGAAGTACTCCTCCAAACAAGTGTCGCAGGCCTGAATCACAAAATCATATTTAAGTTGAAACGAAGAGGATTAAAGCACCCTTTGCACTCCAAGGTCTTTATGGAATATACTCGTCTGACGAAGACATAAGGGATCTTACACTTCTTAAAATACAACCTGAAGTGCGCGAGAAATCGATACAAAAAAGAATGGTCGGCTATTTTAACTGTCTCGTTGGCTAAATGGAGCACGAAGTCTGGAATTGTGTCCGATGTAACCAATAATAAAGCTCGTAGCTTAATAAATAACTAGTAGTTTTGCACCTCTGCATAACTTTCCAAGGAATAAGATAGGTACATGATGGAATGTTGTCAATAGCATTTAAAAACTAAGTATCAGCTTATGATGAGCAACTAGATCCAGCATTAGCTACAATACAACTAGACACAGTACTGATCAAGTCAAAACCTGGTAATAACGAGAATTTTCGTAATACAGACCTGTCCAGTCACATATCGCTTGCAGTAGCACTGAGCAGTGCTTTGGTCGCATACGTCATCAGTAGTTCCTTCTCTGTCACACGTACAGGGCACACACTCCGGGAACGCGTAGTGTCCGGGCACGCAGTGGTCACAAGTACGGCCTATGACGTTGTCACGACAACTAGAAAATTGACGAGAAGCTGATTTTTAGAACCATTTTACAACATATTACTTTATAAATTTATTTTAAAAAAGTGACTTCAATCCCCTCTTCTTTAAAGTCAGTTATTTAATTAATATACTAAAATCTTCTCCTAAGAAACCATTTCGTGGAAACTGTATCAAAATCGGTTCAGACAATCGCGCAGAAACATACACACATATCTACATGTAAAACTAAGAACCTGATTTTTTGAAGTTTCGTTTTTATTATTGTCAAGTTAGGGTTCATAGGCAAGCAAGCAATGGCACTATGTAAGCAATGGGAACTGTTATTGTGTCCTTAGTGTTTATCCTTCCTCCTTATCATGGTACATAGCAATTTGTATCTATTGAGTAGTGTCTACACCATTGAATGAGTAAATAGCTTCACTTTTAATATTTTTTATGTTGACGTTCAAAAGTGCCTTTCTGGTCTATTTGAAATAAATGATTTTGACTTTGACTTTGACTTTAGTAAAATCTTGATTTAATTAAATTTCTTGGAGCGAAACATAAAATCAGTTCTGAATACTTACGGGCAGTTACCACTGTCAGCTTCGCACTGCAATTGATTGCCGACAACTCCGAGAGGATTGCAGTTGCAGTCGTCACAACCTCGTTGCACGTCAAAGTTGAAAGTGTAAGGTTTGCAGCGATCACAGTTCTCACCCTCTACGTTCTTCGGACAAATGCACATACCTGGCCGAATAAATGTTACCTTTATAATCAACACAGAAGATTGATAGACCATATTTTTACATATCAACACAAAAACGAATGAGCTAAATTGGATGGCTCTGATGTAACCATATCTATCTAAACGCCACGATTGTGGTCTAAAAATCTTAAATACCGAGGGTTCTGGAATTGATTTAAGACTACAACCATGTAGACATATAATAGACAAGAGTCAGTTTATTCTTTATCACCTTCACGCCCGAATACTGTACCTACCCATTTAAATAACGTGCCGTCTCTGTCATTTTCCAAAGAATTTGTGGTAACAAAAGTATACTTAAGTGCGACTTCAAATTTACCGGCGTTTGAGTATTTGGACATCAGAGTGCCAAGCACGAATAACTATCGCATTCGTAACGTATTAGTATTGAGCGCGTTCGGCGCTTTGATTGGCCGGCTCAAGTGAACCAACCAATCAGAACGCTTAACTCGCTCGATACTGTTACGATTCGAATGCGATAGTTATTCGTGCTTGGCCCTCAGAGTCTTAAAAATGAGGTATTACTCACCGTTATCATCGCAAATAGCAGTTGATGGGCAGTGGCACGGCCTACAGTTGGGGAAGCCGTAGTATCCAGTACGACAGGCACTACACGACCTTCCGATCACGTTGGGCTTACAAGGACACTGGCCTCCGAAGGTATTACACTCCAGCTCCGTGGATCCCATGAAGTCGCAGAAGCATGCCAGTGCTCCGCTGTTGTACTCCGCAGTGATAGAGAACATTGCATCGCGGCAGAATCCTAGAAGTATGCTGATGTTAGTCACGGTAAGCAAGCTAGAATTAGCTGTTTGGATCTTCGATGAAACTCTTCATAATTACAGTGTATAATTACTGTCAGTCTATTAACGTGAGCTTTATACATGTATACCTATTAGTCGGTAGCTATATTGCTCTTTCTATAAACGAATTTTTTTTCTAAAGACGGACACCACATCTTAGTCTTCTATAGTACAGTCATTCTTCTTTTCTACTGTTCCCAAATTGTACAGTAAGTTTTGTGTTCAAATAAGGAACCGCTTCGTGTAACCGAAATGTAACTTGCAAGAAACATTTCTCCTACTTTAAAAATACAGGATGCTTGGCGCATTTACCGACATAATGTTTTCAGGGATGTGGGAGGTGATTTACTCAAAAACCCTTCGTCCCAAGTCATTAACACAGTGAGGTGAATCAAACGTGTGGCTGCAATACGCAGAGCTACGTAGAACTAACCTGTCTCATTGGATGGGATGTGGTAGTGGTTGTTAGCGCACTTCTCAATGAATTCGCGAGTGTAGTCGATGACATTGGCTTCAGTGAGTGCCGCATCCACGAAGTCAGGCGATGCTACTATGAGAACATAGTCGATCCAGAGTCCTTTGCTGTTGTTACCCTGGTGAGAAACGTTTTAATGAAGATTGGGGAATCAGGAATGTTTTTTTTAGTTATGTTTGTAGCACGAGTAGTGGCATTTTACATGGGCCATGTTTTGGGCGGAGCTTTATACTAAACCGGAGTGATACCACGGCCTCACAGAAAACCGACGTGAAACAACGCTTGCGTTGTGTTTCTTCGTGTTAGGTTAGGGAAGACTCAATTCCCTCCCTCTACCCCATACAACATCCAAAAATTCTCAAAGTCCTAATCCTGAAAAGGCTGATGGGACACTAACATAACGCCTCTGCTGTTTCGGGTGTCCATGGGCGACATCAGGTGATCCGTAAGCACGTTTAACGGGCTCCACCAATTAAAAAAAAAATTAATAGAACTTTGTATGTGCTAGTTCTTACCAGGAATGTGATGGTAAAGTTGTCAGCGATAGGGAATCGGTTATTGCCATCAGCTAGCTTGAGGAGCGACCTGCAACCGGTGCGAGAGGGACAGTGCTGCACCTGCATCGTGGTGTCGAACTGCTGGGCATCAGTCTTCACAACCACGTCAATAGAGCTCTCTGTGAAATGTGAGAAGTGTATATAGCATAGTCTATATTGTCAGTTAAGAAATAGACTAGAAGAGGTTGAATGACAGCTAATAATAGTTCTTTCCTTTAACATATTTTTGCTAATGTATTGTTTCGTAACGTTTTTTGTGTAGGGCATCTAAATGTCTTCAAATTCTTTTTTATAACAAGAGAGAACGTTTGCCTCCCAATAAAAAGACAATTCACACCGCTCAAAATGAAATGCTACTTTGAATATTATAAATGCGAAAGTTTGTGAGGATGTATGTGTGTGTGTGTGTGTGTGTGTGTGTGTGTGTGTTTGTTACTCTTTCACGTCAAAAGGGTTGAAGGGATCGAGATGAAATTTGGAACCGGGGTAGGTTATAGTCTGAAATAACACATAGGCTACTTTCATCCCACGGGCACGTGGGCAAACCCGCTGGCAGAAGCTAGTAAGGTAATATAAAATTGCGACACTGTTGGGAATGGGTCTCTTCAATAATAAGTAATGGACTGTATGTAAAAAAACTGGTATAATAATATAGTATAAATTAAACGGTAAGCTTGTGTCCGCGTCGTCCGCGAACGATCCCAAAAAGAAAAGTTGATGGTGGCCGAGCGCCGCTTCCGTTCGCGTCTCTCACCGCGCGCCCCGCCTTTCTTCCGGGAGCGTCCGGCTGCGTTCACGCGCAGACAGACACGAAATCTTGGATATAATCCCTGTGAAATCTTACCAGGATGGACGGGTTGGTAATAGTGGACCATGAACATGTAATCTCCAGGTACAAGTATCTTCCCCTCAATCTTCAGAGGTTCCACGTCAGGAGTCAGGAATACCACGGCGGTGGCATTGTCCAGGGTCGGAGGCCTGATGTCTCTGTCTCCACCGGTACCAGACTCCGCTTCAACCTACGAAGAAAGTATTTGAATTTAACATTAACAGTTTTTGATAGTTCCCTGGACAATGAACCTCTTCTACATACGAGGGTTTGTTATGATATTCATGCTTGACAGACGTTGGAGATCGCTGAGATCTATCAAACCTTTTGATTAAGGTAAAGGTTACGTAGGGCTAAATATAAGAGTTTGTGTTACGTTTAAAGTAATCAAAACGAGACGGCGTTGGGCGCTCTGATTGGTTGGTTCATTGGAGCCAGCCAATCAGAGCTCGTTGTTGACTGACTTTATTGGTTGTCCAAAGCCTGTTCTTACGAGATCCGGTAGTGGCAAATGTATCCTATTACACCACGGCTTTTGCATCCAACGTGCTGTAGAAAAAACGGAGCAAGATTTGTAAGACAATGTTTCTTTACCTTCTTGGAATCGACGGCGGCAGAGAAGTCAGCTGGTTCGCATTTACCATTGCGTCTCAGACAGTATGGTCGAGGGGTGATGTAATCCAGGTGCCATTCAGACTCCGGAACAGCGACTATGGATTTGATTCCAACTAATGTATCCCGGTCACCCTGTTATAGTAAAAAACTATTAAAATACAGATACAAAATGTGATCCCAATTAGCAACAAAAGAGAAAAATGTTAATACCTAACACATTTTTGTTATTGTTACATTTGTTTTAAAAATCGTTTGACTGAAAATTAACAACATTATGATAATTGCCAGCTTCAAATTAATTTATATAAGTTATAACAGTAATACAAAAAAATTATCAACAACGATGTTCACATGCAAAAAACAAAAGAATGTTCATTTAAAACAATCAAAGTATGAGTGGCCAGTTACTTTCGAAATTAGTTTTCTCAGTTGGTATGCAACCTCTTTAAAAGGTATTTGGACTTGGTGTTTATAACGTAAGATTTAGCTGCAGTGATAGTGCAATTCTTAGGCGATTGGTTTTAGCTGGTACGTAACGTATCGTGTGGGTTTGAACTGAAATACTATTTGCTCATATTTGTTCCAGTTTTGGTTACAGCATGCTTTTATATCTAAGGATGAGCGGATGATAATATTTTGCCTTTTTAGTTATGGTACATGATCCTGCGACTAATAAATTAGCCAATCATATATGTATTACTGTTATAAAATAAAGGTAAAGCTTACCATCAAATAAATGACATTATTCGCATCATGAATATTGAAGATTTGTATCTTGGAAAGGTCATCGACAACAGCTTGGCGACACGCAGCCGTGTAAGGGCAATTATTGAGGTTCACGATAGCATTTGTTTCTGGCTGGTCTCCAGATTGGAACCGCACGGTTATAGGCCCACGAGGTACGAAGGAGTAAGATCCGTTGTTGGTTTCAATCTCATTGGAGCTCTCCAAGCTTCGGTTGATGGGTGTCACATACTCGATGATAAGGATGTATGCGCCTGGAGGATCTATCTTCATGTTGTACTGGATTTCATCGTTCGTCAAGATTGGAATTGAGTCGGCTGATGCTTGTAGCTCGTTCAATTGCTGTAGGAATATGCACGTGTGTTATGTTAAATTGTTTAATACATTGTTGTGGGTCGATATACTGGCTTGAGACTGATTGAGTTACCTCATCAAACAATCATGTGATACAGTAATACTTTAATAAGTCCCACAATAAGAGTTATAATACAAGAATGTAAGCATTAATTTGTGTATTAAAATCGTACCTCCACATCATCGATGTATCCACTGACTGATGTACTGAGGCCAGTGACGTCGGCAGTCGGTCTTCCGAAGAGGCTGGGGTATGCGAAGTGCCTGCACAGCTTCTTGTCTCCAATCACACAAGGCTTGTCTACCAGCTTCGTCAGCACCGTCGCTTCGTAGTACGCCTCGGGGATCAGCACGAAGTAGTCCTAAAATAGAAGACAATAATTAAACATAACATCAAGCCTTTAACCCCGACGGGGTAAGCAGACGTACACACAGAAGTAACACCCACTTTTCACTTTTACAAGACAATAATTATGTGTATTGTATATAAGGGTAGGTAAATGCAATTTGTCTTATGATTTTAAATATCACTTTTAAAGTGGTTTTCATATCAAAGGTAAATACCCCTTTGGGCTTTATGTGTTTGCTACGTATTTTTTATTGTGAATATCGAAAAACAAAATATAGCTTTATTTGAGCCGCTTAAAAAAATTGGTGGATTATCATGAACTGACAAATTAAAAATGTTAAATATCAGATGGCTAACTGAACATAATATACTCACAATCATGACTTCTTTAGTAGTTTTGATGGTGACCATCCAGTTTCCAGGGTTCATGACGAAGGGAGATGGGGCGATACCTTTCTCACCAGCTACTGTCACCAGTTGCGGCTGGATTGTTGGTCGAAGCGCCACGTTGAATCTATAACCAATATATGATTAGGAATTCGTTCACAAGAGTAATGGAGTGTGGATCACCACAATTATATGCCTAGGTAAACAAATCATAGGGGCGAGTTTTCTACCAACCGATAAATTTTATCGGAGGATTAATTATATTAGACAATTCTATCATAATTATACCTTTAAGTCTACGGTTAAGAATAATCTGTTGAATGAAAAATCAGTCATTAGGAAAGTAACAGTTTAACTGATCTTTCATTTCATCTTTAATTACTACATAGTATAAAACAAAGTCGCTATCCGCCGTCTGTCTGTCCCTATATATACTTAAATCTTTAAAACTACGCAACGGATTTTGATGCTGTTTTTTTTAATAGATAGAGTGATTCTTAAGGAAGATTTATATGTATAATACATAGATATTGAACCCCTGCGAAGCCGGGTCGGGTCGCTAGTGCAGTAATAAATTTAAAAGATCCACTTTTCGTAGGTGATCACAGACTCCGTGACTAATCCCATTGACAATTTTTAAAATCGAATAACAGAACTGAAAGTTATTTGTTGATCCCGTGAATTATATTATTAGCCTTAGCCTGAGTAGGTATTATTTTCGATAATCTGTCAAATATTTCCTTTACATCAACATTACCATATAACCAAAACAAACATGACAAAAACGATGCATTTTGATCAAGTAGTTCGAAGGTGCACTTATACATTTCAGTGATGACTCTATTAACCTCTTTTGCAGTGTACTTACTTCTGCTGTATATCTACGACGCTGTCCGGTGTGATGATGATACTAGCCAGGACTACGTCTTGGAGAGGATTGGCGTACTTCAGCACCATTCGGTACAGCGATGACTTGGGTATCATCACCCTGTTCGTCACCTCATTCTAGAAGTCACAATACAATAAAAACATAATAAACATTGTTATTGATTCGGTTATGAGTTTTGTATGAAAGTAGTAATAAGTATCAATGTTCATCGATACAAGCGGAGAATTTGCCTTGAGCAATTATCTGCCGTCAGTCAATAACTAACGTCCACGACAGAAATTCCATTGAACTAATGTCAAAATCGGTCCCTATCCACAGATTTTGGATTGGGATAGGTCATTTATTTCTACCGTTAGACGGTGCGTAAAAGTAGGGAAGTACATAGTAAGATTAGAAAGTAGCAAAATCAAAATTTTGATCAAATCAAAACTTAATATTTATATAGTCTATCAAAATACTCTACATAAATATTAAGTAGAATAAACTGGTCATCCGTACATGCACAGGGACTGGATGATTTTTTATATTGAATCCATAAAAATGAATCACTCATTGGTCTACTGACACCAGTTTCAAAACTGTCCACGTGTACGCCCTGCCTTTTACTACGCCAAACTCCATAAAAAACAAATAAAGGTACAAACCTGTAGCATAGAGAACACGACGTAACCCTTCCATGAGTAATTAGGGAACACTTCATCAGAGTTCCTGTATCTGACGGGGCCTGATTGCGTGTAGCCTTCTTCAACTTCGTACTGGAACTGGTGAAGGGTTGGGAAGTAATGGGCTCGGATTGGACGGTCACAGCGACGGCCTTCAACCCTGGAGTGGCAACGACACTGTCCTGTGGTCTTGTCACAGTTGTTGTCGATTGAACCACCGATATCGCAGTCACATTCTGGAGGAAAATCATAATAATATAATTCCTTTATCATTATAACATCAGATAATTAAGGTTAGATTTGACAACTTTTGTCAGATTTGTAGGCCAATACTATACTGTTATTTGTAAACAAGGCATGCATTTTGGCCGTAACAAGGCTACGTAAAAGCGCCTGATTTCTTTCCCATCGTGTCGAATTATCGTCCCATCAGATTATTATTAGAGTACAGACTCACTTAATTATCTCCTACCCAGTTGACTAATCTCACCGTTGTTGCCGTAACTGATGATCATTAAAGGGGCATTATTCTCAACTTACCAGTACAACCAAATACGTTATTGGAGTCGAGTTTGTAGAATCCGTCCTGGCACTGACCGCACTGACGATCTCCAACATTCATCTTGCAAGTACACTGTCCGGATTTGGTGTTACAAGTGCCCAGACCGCCGAGAGTACCAGCTAAGTGGCAGTTACAGTCTGTGGACAGAAGTTTTGTTCATATCATCATACGTCATCAGCCCATAAGCGCCCAATGCTGAGAAAAGGTCTCTTCTCACACGGAAGTGCTCAAAAGTTTTTGAGCATTGATCACCACGCTTGCTGAAGACGAGGTAGCTCAAAGAGAAACAATGATCATTATGAGTTATTCTATGAACAGATTGAGCTCATAATCGCGAAGTAGTTCTTTCGTAATAAACATGTGTTCCTTACCTTCGCATCCAAATGGATTATATTCTTGCAAGTTCCAGAATAGAGGCTTACAGTCGTTACAAATGCGCCCTTGTACCCGGTCTTTACACTGACATAGTTCACCAGCAGGCACTGAACCGCAACCTGTACAAAAATAGGAGAATTTATGATAAGCAATCTAAAAACCTCTTTGAGTCTTTGACTCTGTTCTAAATTGATATCGCACCTGTTTGTAGCGAAAAGGTTTAAATATAGGTATAATAATGATTTATTATTATTATTTGATGACGTACCAGCAAAACTTGCAATAACACCCCTGGGGTCGCAGTTGCACTCCTCACAGGCCGGGTAGTTGTAGTACTGTTCTTTGCATTTATCACATTTAGTTCCGTCGAAGTTCGGCTTGCAGTTACATTGTCCGTTGTCATCACATGTAGATCCGATGGAACCAGATACGTCACAATTGCAAGCTGTGGGAGTAATGAATATTAATGAGAAAGGATCAAAAACTTTTTATGAGGTGATAGACTCGTGAAAACTGATACTATTTCTTTAGTGGTTTACTTTAAATTATGGGTCTGACAAAAAGTATTACATATTTTATTTTATTTATTTCAACTTAATACAACAAGTGTGTACAGGTGGACTTAATGCTTTGGGCATTGTCTCCCAGCCAACCTTTAAGTAACGCAGATATGAAAGTAGCAGGTGGTTTTAAACCTTTATAAATAGGCAATAATGTATCAAGTACAATAAATAACAAATCTCACAATCATAACATTCAATAAACATTATACAAGTAGGTATATTTGAAAAATAATACTTATTATTGAGTATAAGTTTTCAAATAATATACTTATTGAGTTTCCTATTTAAGAAATTTTATGACAAATAGCAATAAGGTTACCCCTGTTACTTCCATAACAGGACTAATATCTCGCGATAAGTCCAACGATGTTGTATATTATTGAGATCATTGTAAAGATTTTAAACTTTAAAGTAAACTTTGAAGTTATTGACATATTATGATAATGATTGTAATAAAGTAACTATGATGAAATGTAATATAATATTATTGACAGTGCATGATCCTATATTTTAATTTAATTTAATGACAAATCTGACTATTGAAATCTTTGTATAATTAATAACTGGTAATTTAATATTATTTGTACGCTGTTAGTGGCAAGACATAGCTGGTCAATGTAAAGCTTGTAACAACTTTTGTAACCTGTGTTCTACAAATAAAGTAATTTGAATTTGAACTTCAATTTTGCGTATACTACAAGTTATAATATGGTATACAAAACTTACGTAGACATTCTGGGTACTTATAGTACCCTGGTGAACATTGGTCGCACTGTTTGCCTCCGAAGTTAGCGAGGCAGTTGCACTTTCCATCAGCTGAACAACTCGTTGAAGTAGAACCAGTGGGGTCGCAGTTGCACGGTACGCAAAGACGCTCACGACCACGCACGTCCATGTAGAATCTAGACAAGCATTTAAAGACCTAAATTGAAAGTAGTTCAAATGTTTAGGAATTTGTTATTTTTCTAGCCTCTGTGACGAATATGCGACGAAATTCCGTTAATTTCTCTCCGCTCAACTATAAAGTTGTTAGATTTAATCCAATCAAATCCAAATACTGTGTTTTTAGAAAATAGATAACTATTAAGCACCAAATTATTTTCTAGACATAACATCACGCCTTTTATCCTCGAAGGGGTAGGTGCACATTATACCACTGTTCAATGTAACACCCACTTTTCACTATTTATGTTATGAGTCCCATGTAATAGGGGGTGAGCATATTGCCATATACCGGGCACAGTTTCAGACTCCGTGCTACTACTAAGAATTTTTAACAAACCCAGTAATACTTTGTCCGACCCGGGAATCGAACCCGAGACCCTTTGCCGCAAGTAGCAATTGCGACCACTCGGCCAAAGAGGCAGTTTATTATATTTTATTATTTACTAGAATCTACCTATTTATGTCTTTCTCAACTTTTATATGTTTTTGTAGAAAAAAGTAACGATTGATTGGTTTAACTTAGCTTACCCATTCAAACACTGATCACACCGAGCTCCTCCAAAGCCAGTCTTGCAGATACATGCGCCGGTGACGTCATCACAAATGCTGGCCTCCGTTCCACTCACATCGCAGTTGCAATCTGTGGAACATTAAAATAATAGTTAAGTAGGTACTAGTAAACATCAACTGCTTAGTAAAGTACGCAAAACAAAACTAAGGCTAGCTCGTTCGGCATTTAGTTAGTTGCTTTTATAAGAAAGAAAGAAAGAAAGAAAGAAAAAGAATTTATTTAGCACCAGGCACGATGCAGCATAAATAAAAAATAAAAAAAGGCAATCAAGATGTGACAGTGGAAGTAATAAAAATATAAGAGTTGAAAAATTGAAACAGAAGAATTAGAAAAGAGACGCTGACAACATGCCTATGCTAAAAGGGTCACCCACTCAGTATAAGCCAGGCATACAGGTTACCCAGCACTGATTTAGTGATTTCATTATCGGGATAAAACACCTATGTGTGTTGGTGGACCATAATTATATATCTCAAACATTCAAATCAATTATGTAACTTTTGCGTGAAGATCAACAAACTTCCTCAAACATCCTTAAACTTTCGCAATTGATTAGTGAGAAAGATCATACGATCTCCGGCCACCATAAGCACGGGCCTGCGGACGGCGAGTACGGGTGACCCGAGCGTACAGGGCATTGCGTTCCACGTGCGCCTCAAAGAGCCATCAGACCACCACTGATGGGGCCCAACAGGGCTGATGCCGATACGGAGTCGCGGAGAACTTAATGGATTAAGTGCAAGAGTAGTCGAACGGGTTGGTTTTTAGAAGTTAGAGGCCCAATTCTTCACCCCATCGCCAATCTTTAAATCCCTTAAAGCTCGGCCACGTACTACTTTCTGTGAGTGTCAATAGGCGCTGATTGCTTGATGACTATACATAGTACAAATACTCGTTTGCCGCTCTATCTCATAAAAAAAAAACACAGTAACTCTACTTACGTTTGCAAGTCGGATAGTTGAAGTACCCGGCTTCGCACTGGTTGCATGTTCTACCGCTGTACTTGCTCTTACATGTGCAGTTACCGCTGTCCTTGTCACACACAGGAGACACCGAACCAACGGAGTTGCACTCGCAATCTGGTTGGAAAGAGATAACAAGATTAATGACAGTTCATGAAGACACGGCCTATTTTATAGGTCTAAACAAAAAGTTCCTTTAACAAAAATAATAGCTTAACTTGATATTATTAATACTTATTGGCAATAAACTATTTTCTTTACTTGATTTTGCTTCGGTATTCTATGATATACCAGTTTTGTCTTGAATTTCATGTACAAATTCACAGTAATCCCTTTAGTAAGATATACTAAGTTATTTATTATGTTTTCGGCTTGCTCATGTAATTATTTAACGAGGTACTAGACTAGTGTTAAGCTATGCTAGAAGCTCATATTCATGAACAGAATTCCGCGACAGTCGACGCGACGACTGCCACGTCTTCCTCGACAAACGTCACGTGAGTAACTCGAAAACATCATAACTAAGAATTATTCCATTTTGGAAATTATGTGTGTGCATTTAAACCTCATAGGGTTATGAAATCACAGTAAATCTTGTTGTTAAGATACAATTTCAATGAAAATGGCGACTGTCTCTTAAGCCGAAAGTACCTGATTATCTCATTTTTCACTTACTTTTACATTCCGGTGAATAGTAGCCATCTGCGCAAATCTCACAGGATTTACCAGCGTAGTTGTATTTGCAGGGGCACTGGACAGAAACATATTTGACTTAGGGCTAATATTTTAACGCCAGATAAATTTGAATTGAAGAATAACTTTGAATATTTGACAATTATTTCTCATATTTATACTACAGTTAAAAATTAACTGATAATGAAAATTGGTCCTTAATGATAAACAAAGGAATAAATTACGGTATATTACTCGGTCACAGCTTGCCTCCTATCATTTTACGTGTATCATGTAAAAGGTAACTATCGGAACAGTGTCTACAAGAAAAGAATAGCGGAACGTTACGCTAATTTAATAAAAAAATAAACATAAAAATCATACTAGAATTTAAGACATTTCACAATACTTTGCTAGAGACCAAAATATAACACAATCGTATTAAGTAACGAGGTATGCAGTTGTTTATATTCATTGTAATCCTTTCAATATTCTACTTAATTTTTTTATTTCTTGTGCTACAAAACTTACCAGGCCATCAACAGGAGTACACTGCTGTCCATCAGTTCCATTTAGATTGCAGGTGCAAGGTTTGCAGTTTGGATAGTCGAAGTACCCATAGGCGCAGGAGTCACAGTTAGGAGGGTTGAACTCCACTCTGCATTCGCAGCGACCGGTCTCCTCTTCACAGTTCCCGGTCGAGTAATGCAGGTCGCAGTTACATGCTGACAGAAATAAACAAAGTAATGTGAGAAAGAATTTTAGACATGGCTAGCGAATAGTTTCAAAGTATTGAGTGATTAATTTTGACTGATCACTGCAAGTGGTTAGCCATCTTTGAATCGAGGATAAGATGAAAATTCTTTACGTGTATTGTAATCCGTCATCTTGTAGCAAATAATAAACAATTTATTATACTGTATGTATCATTGGATTCCAACAAATAGTGGTTGATCAAAAGAATTATGTAAATCGTCAACATTGTGCGCACAGATATAATAAAATTGTGCGCTTAAACCCATCAGGATCTTTTAGATATTCTCATGAATAGTTAAAAAGCTGGAATCGTACCCGGTGTATGAGCCCGCTAACTCATCTGATTGCTACAACTTTGCTTACGCTTTGGGTAATCATCATATCACGTTATATTATTATTATGATGCGGGTAGAAAGATCAATTCGGTGTATCGGTAAAGCACAAATAGATACTCACGCTGACATACGTCGGTCTCATTCCAGCTCTTTCCATAAGGTCGGTAGAATGTTGGCACGCATTTATTGCAGTTGATGCCCTGTGTGTTGTGCTGGCAGTTCTTGCAGACTCCTCCCCCCTCATACTTGCCGTAAATATCGAGGGACTGCCTCTGTCTGTCTACCTCAGGGTCATACTCGCATTCCGTCGAGTGGTTGTGGCAATTGCAAGCTGGGAAGTAAAATAATGTTTAATGAGACTGCAGTTACTTACTACCTACTAATCAAAAATATCAAACATAATGAAAGAAGAGATGTGATACGAATATATCAGCCTATATAAGATAAATAATTTTATCCTTACTGAGAGAAGATACCAATAATTCATTGTCTGCATAGTTGAGACCATTTCTTGCGTGATTCACAAGTTTTTGTTCTGGTTCTAGGCATGTATGTGAAATTATATATTTGTGTGGACATTCTACACAGGAGACTGTAGAATGACTTATACAAGAAATAATAATAATGTATCTCCTCTCAATACACTGCACAATCGGCGCAGCGGCCTGGCCCAACTTCAGGGTTCTCTTTAGTGTCATGGAAGCGTCTCCAAAGAAAACATACATTTTACAACCAAGCCCGTAACCACAATATACATATGAATCACACAAAAAGTCGTTTTACATGATAATCGACATGACATGTTACTCAGTAGCCGATTATCAAGCTGCTGATCGTTTACATTGATTATAAAACAACGTACGTTCACAAGCAAATCGGTCCCAGTGCTGCGAGATCCTCCACTTCTTCTGTTCGAATCCAGGACAGCACTCAGCGCATTGTGGTCCACAAGTATTGTGTTGGCACACACACTCCAGAATATTGGTGTTAGTCGCTGGGTCCGCTGGCTCGCAGGTGTCCGCGTGACCGTTGCACATACAACGACCTCCAATGCTGATGTCTTTGATACTGTAGAAGTACTGTAGAGAGAAAAATATGTCAGATCATTTTTTTTAAATACTTAAAGTCCCAGAAAGAAATACATTTACGTAAATATACTGAGAAAAGCTCTACTAGTTTCGAACCACAGAGGGGTTCTTCCTCATGAGCAGCGTGCGCGGCCGCGGCGACGTCGCGCAGCTTACTCAGTATATTCACGTGAGTAACCCGTGATTTTAGTTAATTTATTATAAAAAGAAATACATCTGTTATGGCACTTATTTTCTCCAGTTAAGACCAATGCGTAAGGAAACAAACATATTATAGGATTGCTAAATAGCTGAACCTTCACTTTAATGTCATATGTATATAACTACCTCGTTGGTTAAGTGGTCGCAAATGCGATTGCTGGGCATAGGTTCTCAGTTTCGATACCTAGGTCGGGCAAACTATAACTTGGTTAATTCACAGAAGTAGCACGGAGTCTGGAATAGGCTCATCCTCTATTACACGGGACTCATAACATAAAGAGTGAATAGTGGGTGTTTCATTGTACAGTGGCATTAAGTGCCATAATGTGTACTTCTGCCCACGTATCACTTCGGGGATAAAAGGCGTGATGCTACCTATGTTTTATTTATATTCCTATTAATGTCGTTAATATTTAAGTAAAAGGCACAAAGTAGATCAATTGATGAAAGAAGATATTTATTTTCTTTTGTTAAGGTGTTCGAAGATGTATGTATAAATATGTGACTCGATACACATAATTCTGACTGTTGCATACAAAAGAATTGTAAACAATTGTTTGTTTTGACGAAGAAATTGACCTCGCAGTCAAAATCACTTATTGTGAGTTCAAATCTCAGGTGTTCTTGTAAATCTATAACTTTACGAATGCACAGAAACCGTCGACTGTTGTTTGTGATTTTGTAGAAATATTTTAGCCTCATTAGTCAATTAGAAATATAATAAGAATTCTAGTTGTAGGTCTAAATCTATTATAACTCAATAATTTAATTGTTTAGTTAGCACTTGTCTGGTACAATTGACACAAACATACCCAATATCTTTCTTTGACACGGAAAATAAGCTATATATATAACATTAAAAGCAAAAACGAATCAACACAAAAATTCTATAATGACCGTGGCCATATATATATATCCAATATGTTTTTAAGTATGTAAAATGAGATGATTCATTACCCGTCGTGTTACAGTAGGATCCTGCCTAGCTACAGACATAAGATGTCCAAGCAAGTTCTTGGTTCTCAGCAGACGGAGCCGCACATTGGTAGCCCTGGTCCATTCCTGGAGTACTGAAGAGTTGAAGTAGCTGTTTGCAGACGGACGATAGTTCAGCAGGGAAATTGGAATCTGGAAAGATGTACGTACATGAGTAAAGTCATGATTATTGTCTTTTGTTTGTTCTCTTTCTCAGAGGTCCCTATCTCTGAAGACCTGGCCCAAGGTCGTGCTGAATTGCAACCCATTTCAGCTCAGATTTATGACATGGACTTACACTACATAATATTGACGTACTAACTATTGCCTACTTCTTCGTTGTCTTTTGATTTATGTATGTACGTCAGAAATCGTTGTTTCTCTTTCTTTTACATGATCATGCTAATACTGGATACAATTGAAGTCTTTGTACTCAGTAAGACTTAAGACTGTTACGCACTGTCAACTAGTCGCCGGTGACTCAGTCAATGGCGACTGCAATTTACTAGTTTCAATAGGTATTTACGCACTTGGTCGCTGGTCGCTCGCCTATATCTCGGTCGTTGGGAGACTGAGTTCCTGGCGACTAGTCGACAATGCGTAATGGCTCTTAAGGATTCAGTTCATTCAATTCAGGGTCTAGTGCATAAAAGTCACACTTGCAATGCTTTTTGTAAAGGTGATGTTCATTATTGTTTGCTGGTTTAAAAATGAAATCCAAGAAATCGTAGCTGTTTCGTTTAGGACTGTCACTGTGACTGATGATAGCGTGATTGTTTATACTGACCTCACCACCTTCCAGAGGCACGATCTTTGAGTATTCTGTGCTGCAGATGACGGAATCATCCCTAGTGATGGGCTGAAGACTCTCCTTGCCGAAGTATCGCTCACAATCCCTGTAATGAAGAAAATGGTCGGTTAGTGCGTAAAAATATTCGTTACTAGCTTTTACCCGCGGCTTCGCTCGCGTCACAAAAAGGTAAAAAGTAGCCTATGTGACATATACCAATACACAAAGCGCCATCTATACCAATTTGTTTTTCCTCGAGAATATCAATTTTTTCCGGGATAAAAAGTACCCTATTATTTAATCCAGACTTCTAACTTTACCTCTGCAAAATTTCAAAGCAATCGGTTCAGTAGTTACGTCGTGAAATCGGAACAAACAAACAAACTCATTTTCCGATTTATAACATAAGTAAGGATAAAGATTGGCCGTGTGATAACGGTAAGGATGAATATACTTTGGCATTTCCCATTTTCTTTTCGTTGATATCATAAGAACCGATCATATTGAGTAGTGATCTCCAACCCACTTGCCAGATTGTGAAAATTGTGGAAAGCTTTCTCATAAGAACGGTCTTCCATATAGATATTACTGGAGTATAGGCCTAATTGTGAAGAGGAGACAGTGTAGTCCAACTGTGAACTCTAATGGGGTGTTGTGTCATGTAATATGCAAGTAATGTTAGGTGCAATTTTATGTTAAATTAAACTCAATATCAAGACTGCTTTTGATAAAGGTCCCATGTTAAATTGACTGACTAGACTGCCTCGTTGTGTGACTGGTCGCAAGTGCGACTGCCGGGCAAGGGGTTTCGGCTTCGATTTCCAGGTTGGGCAAAGTATTACTGGGTTTTAAAACAATCTCAGTATTAGCACGGAGTCTGAAAAAGCGCCCGGTATATGGCAATAGGCTCACCCCCTATGACATGGGACTCATAACATAAATAGTGAAAAGTAGGTGTTACTTCTCTGCCACCTCTTCAAGGATAAAAGGCGTGATGTTATGTTTAATTGAGTTTGAGAATTCATAAATTATAAGATTTAAGTCAAATTAATTAAAGAAAATACTTACTGAGGAGACTCGGAGAAGTATTGCCAGGGCTTGAACGTCTTTCCGTAATCAGTAGACTTCTCCAGCATCCAAAGACCAGGTCGTGGTGAGTTACCCATCTTCACGAAAACGTACGCTACGTGGAATTCCTGCAAACCAATAACATTCATGAGAGGTGGAGAATAAAATATTGCCAGTGGTACAAAATGTTCATATACTTAACAGGAGTCAAGTTAATAGCTATACATGACCTTCAATTTGGATATCGCACTGGTACTGAGATTAATGCAAATTAACACATCCTTTAATGCTTAATTCGATTTGGGAAACAAATCAAGTGTGGGAGAGTCATGTTTCGGTACGAATGGGCCGGCTCCATCGGAGTAATACTACCTCACAGAAAACCGACGTGAAATATGGCTTGCGTTGTGTGAGACAGTTAACCGAAGGCCAAATTACCGCCCTCCCCAGTCTCCCTAATCCTCGAATGCTCCACAATCCTCAAATTCCCATTCCCCAAAAGGCCGGTAAAGCACTTGTAACACCTCTGGTGTTTCAGGTGTACATGGGCGGCTCCGATTGCTTACCATCAGGTGATCCGCTCGTTTATGGGCTTATCCTAAAAAATCTAAAGGGTTGGCAGGCGTGCTGTGCCTTTGACCACTCGGACAGTTGTCATGTATAGCATAGCATATTATGTAATAATATGTATCCACAGAAAATTTATAAATTACAACATTGTCTTGGAGAAAACACAATTGTTTTGAATGAAAAGTTTTATTTGCTATCACGTACACTACTCTTGTCTTAACATCGTAGAATTGTAAAGAATTTAAAAGTAACTATGCATTTCAAGTCTTCACATGAATGTGAGTGTAAGTATGTATATATGCAGCCACGATACGAGAGAAAATTTAAACTTTTCTACCAAATGTACTGGCTGTATTGTTATTTGGTGTGATTCGTCAATCAAACAGGGAAATCCTGTTTACCTTACGAACTTAGACTCTACAGAAACATATCATCAATACTTATTAATCCTATTACTGCATCATCATCATCATCATCGTCAATAGCCGATATCAGTGCCCACTGCTGAGCAAAGCCTCTTCACACACGGAAAAGGTTTGAGTATTAATCACCACGATTGCTCATTGCGGGTTGGCGATTTCAAACTTATAATTAGAAATTATAAGCTCACGTTTCCTCACATGTTTTCCTTCACCGTTTGTCAGTGGCGTCTAAATAATCTTTGTAAGTACATATAACTCCGAAAAAGTCACATTGGTCCTTGCTGGTAGGTTTCGAACCCCGCCCGCTTCTCATGCATGATGGTGTCATCATTCATGAGAAGCGGGCGTCTTAAACCTTCGGGCCACCACGACACCTATTACTGCACACCGCCCCAAACAAACGATACACGTGTAACTTCTATTACATATTATAGTTTATCATAAAAAATATATTTTACGAGTTGCCTGATCTATTTGTGATATAAACATCATAATCTTTATGAACTAATAACCTCGCCCTTTGGGTGGCTACAGTTTTTATCACAGCACACTGTCGTCACCCACGCTCCATACATCCTCTGCGGGTCACGCGGACTATGAGATAAGCTTCTAACTGTGGTTTGAAAAAAATCAAAGCATCATTTTAACCGGTATTTTATACTGTAATCTATTTTGTTCATGTCATATACATAGACTCTCCAGCTATAGTTCCAAAGACCAGCTCTTACAAACAAACTTTTCAGCTTTATGACATAAATCTGCGTAAAATATCCATACTAAGTGCGGGAATTGATAAAGAAAGACCATCAAGATTAACCATCTAGTGTCTAAACATATGAAGACACACATTGTAGTATTCAAGTAATGAAGTATTTATTGCATCCATACATGTGGTAGGAAAAACAAAATTAAGTAATAATTATGAACTATGTCAATAACGACATTAAGGGCCGAATTTTCAATAATCAGTTATTTATTGACCTACCTTTCTTAACGATCATTCTTAACTGTAGATTAAAATTGCCATTTGATAGTTATTACTATGGAAGAATTATTGTCAAATATTCAAAGTTATTATTGGCGTCGGAAAAATCGGCCCTTAACCCTTTGAGTATCGTCATTATAGACACAATTAAAGAACAATAGATGTGCGGACACCGATGTCCTCGCGGTGTTTGACAGTTTAATGGTATAAATGTTTATTATTGCAATATTTAGACAGATATTGTCCCAGTACTTTGAAATTAGGCTTGAAAGACAAACAGATATATAGTACTTTGTTTACAAATATTACGGACAATGTTCTTACATTCATTGAGATCATAATGTATGTTACAATAGAGATGCAGGCTTGCAAATATACTATGTAATATGTATGCAATCGCTATATTTGGCAGGCAACACCAATGATGTCAGTATGTTGTCATCAAGATACAAGAAACAAGATTACGATATAACCACATTAGCTCTGATATTACTACAACTATGTGTTAACAATTAACATAATCTTTTATTAAGTACTCTATCAAAGTATGTCCAAAAATCAAGTGTAAAATGATCAATAAATTCCCATTTTAAAATTATAAACTCATAAAGTCAAAAGGAAATACCAAATCCCGATAACTGGTTGTGAATTGTATTTAATCAGGTAACAAATCAGTGAATCCCAAACTGATTAGGGATAGGACAAGCGAAAGATCGTATTTTTTTTGTTAAAAATGCAAAAGGCAATCTTTTTGAACACCGTTCTAACTTTTTCAAAGAGGCTGTTGAAATATAAACCCCGAGAGCAGAATCATTACGGTAGCTTAGCACACACAGAAACTGGAATTCGCAATGCAAATCATATTACAAATGTATGAGAAGATAAATTCGCTCTATTTCTACACACGTCAGCATCTCGTATTAGTCATTCGCTTAGCAAATTCGCGTACCTAGGTAGGTAATCAAGTTACGCATTGTCATCAGTCGCAGAACTGCATTTAATGAAACATTGCAATAGATAAGTTGAATGTAATACATGCCCATTCGATACTTCAAACTATAAGTATTTCTATTATAAATTAATCATAATTATAAAGCTGAATTGTTTGTTTGAGCTGTCTCTGTAACTACGTACATTTATTACTTAAAACATATTTTGAGCCATTTGTACTGGTATCCTTAATTTCATGTATTCGTTAAGAAGATTGGTTTTTTTTAGCTCATACATGTCTTTGATAACCTAGATGCAATCCAGGCAAACCTCTTTCTTTCAAATTTCACCCAAATTCAGTGCCTCGCGCACACGCACCCAATTTTTATATAGTAGAGTAAACGCGATATGGCTATAAATGATTGAGTATTAAGTATATTAAGGATAACCAAACGCTAGTATTAAGAACAAAACATAATGAAGTAAAAACGCAGAAATGGTTCACAAAGATTTTTCTTTTTACATAGAACTTAAGAAACGAATACATAAGTATGACTTTAATCATCCATATATCACAATTTATACAATACTTTTAACGTTTATTATGAATTAAGTATTTTATGCGGAAGATGGGATACTGCATAAAACTAAAATGTAAATTCAAAGTACTTCGTGACGGTAGGAACATTCGGCTAGGTTCGTAAACTTGTTCTATAATTGTTTTATGTCCCAACAACGGTGAAACCGAGTTCAGTGAACTCTCGAACGCCATGTTATTCCTGGATTGTCCTGAATCGCCTGCAATGGACATATGGCTCGACTAATATTACGAAATTAGAAACAAAACGAGAATTTCCACGGTAAAAGGAATCTTCGTCGCGTAGTTTTAGATTCTAATTTTGTTTGCTGATGGATTTTATTTTAGAAGGATTTTTCTTAGGGAATCTTAAGTTGGGAAAGTATTCGTGGCTCTAATTTTAGCTTTATTGACATCATGCGGATGACACTTACTTTATGTAACGTTTGTTATTTCTTTATAATATAAACGCCCGAATACTGAAAGGATACTCAATTTTAAGTTGCGGTTAAGTATAATTTCGCCACTACTTAACATAACATAACATCACGCCTTTTATCCCCGAAGGGGTAGGCAGAGGTGCACATTATTTGCCACTACTTAATTCTTTGTAAAATGACAGAGAAAGAGAGAGAGAGAGATAGCACGATATTAAGTTACAACTTAACATTTAGTCGCTTTTCAGTATTCGGGCGTTACTATATAGAAATTTAATTACATAGGTACTGGTAACTGATTCCAATACTTCACCATTTATGTTATACCATAGATACCATTGTAATTCCCAAGGTTGGTCATCAAAAGCTTCAAACTCAGTGCATACGTGAATCGTAAAAGCTTAGTAATACCTTGATGGACTATACAATCGACTGGGCATTAAGTACTAAAGCATTTAAAATGTTAACAATATTCCCTGGAATTATGACGTAATATTAAAATAATAGTTATGTAGCACTGAGTCTGGGGTCCTAGATTAATGTATGTAGATATGATGTCACCGAATACCCGAGAACATATTTCATGAGAACAATATATTTAGGAGCAGATATTTCAGTATAGTTTCAAAATAACGTCTCTTATGTGTTGCACATGTTTTACAGTTTTCGGATCGTGTAGTCACAGCCTTATGTCAGTTTTATTATTATCAGACGCGGTCTCAGTTTAAATTACTGAAAGTAAAATTGAGTTTTTCGCCTCTGAAATGTTCTAAAACTACATCCAAGCCTAAAGCCATTGATATGACTACACCTAAGATTAGTCAGTGTTATTTCAAGTAAGTGATTTTATGGCAGTACCTATTTATAGTGCTGTAAGGCTGTTCTAGTTATAAAACTGCATACATAATGCATCTGACTGCTGTTTACTCAGAACAATTCATCAGCCAGTTGCCGATATTTAGATTAAATACTAGCCAGAAGAAAGTATTCGTTAAAATACAGTAGGAGATGTACTCATTCCTTACCTGTCCAAGATCGATGGTGAGGTTGACCTCGTTGTACTTCATCCCCCTGGACAGCGGCGGACTCTGCCACCAAGTCTCCGAGCTGTCCACTGCATATTCTGGAGGATGCTTCTTGGCTTCATTCGTAGCATCACAGATGTCACAAACCTGGGCAAAAGGGATAAAGAAAAGGTTTTTATTATAATTTGCGTATACGACTACCTCGTTGGCCGAGTGGTCGCAATTGCGATTGCCGGGCAAGGGGTCTCGGGTTCGATTCCCGCGTCGGGCAAAGTATTACTGGGCTTTTTCAAAAAAATCTTAGTAGTAGCACGAAGTCTGGAATTGTGCCCGGTATATCGCAATAGGCACACCCCCTATTACATGGGACCCATAATTATAATACGGCATTAATTGCCGTAATGTACACCTCTGCCTACCCTTTCGGGGATAAAAGGCGTGATGTTATGATGTTATGCGTATACGCAGATATAACTTAACTAGGTACATATGTGTACATTCTGTATTGTGCACTAGATAAACTTTGTATTCATTTTTTTACTATATTTTCTTGTTTATGTGTCTGTTTCTCAACATCTGGTTAAGTTATGACATTGGCGTTACATGAGCACCCCCCAAGGGTTGGGATTCGAAAGCTGACAAGTACTAACGTGACTAGGCTTTTACTAATAGACTGTTAATGTGTGATATCATCATCACTATCAACGAGCAAAACTACATTGGTATTTGTATCAACATCTACTGCTGGATTAGACATTCATTTGTTCATTTGTAATGAAACTTAATGAAAAGGAAGACAGGACCACGACACATGTCAGATCACAGATAACCTATGAATTGGACTGTTACCAAACAGTTTGCAAGGAAAAGATGGCTGGAGTTCAGAAGAAAGCCGTGCCTTCTTCTTCATAGTGATTATGGTCACTCTGCTAACAGTGAAGCGAATGGTCCCAGGTCAAAGGTGTCGCACCTTACACTTCCCATCTGTTGGAAGTGGCGGGCAAACGTCCCCTTAAGTAAGTTGTTATGTTATAGTTGTTGTGTTGACTAAAAAATATTTTTCTCTACCTTTCCTGGACTCTCACGAACATTTCAAAACCAAAATTAGCAAATTCGGTTCTCGAGTTTAAGTGAGAATAACGAACGGAAATTCTTTTTTATTTTTATAGATTGCTATCCAAATCAGTGAACGAGACATTTTGGACCAAAATTAAGTCTTTGGTATTACATTCGTGTTAAGTTCAACCAACACTAAGTTAAATCGAGACTCTCTTTTGTTTACATTAAACTTTCAATTAAGTGGAGTTCATGACGGTCTGACCGATATTATAATTATAACGGAATTATTTGGAAGTACATTATTATTTATTTATTATTTATTTTTAACTCTTACTGGTCTTTGTTCAAAAGTAGTCAAGGAGCAAATGAATTCAATCTTAGACACTTGACAAGATATTATGCGCCTGCGCGCATTTATTGATTGTTCTAAGGGTGACAATGCTCCAATGGATTAGTGGTCGGCATACGTTCGTGCTTGAATAGGTTCAAACCTAATTGATGACCAACTATGTATAATATTATTATGAGCCTTGTATGTTAGTGTAAAGTTTACTGACCTATAACTTTTTAATTAGTGACTTTTACTATCGCATAGTATAGAAAGTATTTTTAAAATAAATCTAGAACATTATAATACGAATAACTACATCATTAATAATTCATTTGTCCATCAATAAAGTAACGAACATCCTTAAAACCAACCACCCATTTTAAATCTTAATATTCAATGCATCATCACGAAATATCTAATTCCTAAAACTCCAAACAAAACATCAACAGCAATTGGGACCTTTGTGTTTGTAAAAACAAAGGAGCTTAGTTGAATAGGATGCGCGTGAGCATTTGGCCGCCACATGTCCGCAAAAACGCCACGAGAATCCCCGATCTTTGTCGAAATTCTCCGAATCCAGAGAGCTCGAAGATGCCCGAAGGGCCCCGAAGTGAGATTATATTACAAGGAATAATGTCCGGTTATTTACATTGTGTAAATATGCAGTCATATGTTTGTAATTACGGATGAGTGTTGATGACAGTTTGTTTAGAACAATTTGTTTTGTTTAGACAAAGTCCGACAATGTCTTCTTGAGAAAGAAATATTTAATTTAACTTCCAATAGACTGCAGATCAGCAGCTGTAGCCAAATGCCATTTAGCGCTTGTCTACATGTAGAATAGAAAACCAAATTATATAAAATTGACGTAAATTTTGACATTTGTCAGTGTCATCCGTATACATTTTGATTTCAACTCTCTCTGTAGACAAGCGCTAAAGTGTCGTTCGGCTAAAGGCCCTGTTGTGAACATTGAAAACGAGTAACCCATGGAGTTCTTGCTTTTCTTCTCCATAGGCATCTACACTTTGGAACGAGCAAATAGCTTGACTAGAGGACTGACCGACAGACGGGCATTTTTTAATATTCTGTCCAATATTCTGTTTTGACGTTCAAAAATATCTCCTTGGTCTAATTGAAATAAATGACTTTGACTTTCTTTAGAATCAGGAGAATGCAGTGTTTCATTCATTATTCATCGGATACTAAGTTACTCGAAATGTTTGTTTTTTAGAATATACACATAACATCACGCTTTTTATCCCCGAAGGGTTAGGCAGAGGTGCACATTACGGCACTTAATGCCACTGTACAATGTAACAGCCACTTTTCACTATTTATGTTATGAGTCCCATGTAATAGGGGGTGAGTTTTAGAATATACACCGACACCGATTATATCTTTGATGCATATATCAAACTCTACAATAAAAAAATATGTGTTTACTGAGTGTTCTGATGATCTGTAATCATTAATTTGTATATTACAGTACCTATTTATTTATTGCACACAAATTACAATAGTCATTATAGACTAAGTCTAATGAGAGCAAGTAATTTACCATAAAATAAACAAACATTTTTTTTAATACAAACATATATGGTTGCATTAATTTGTATTAATTGTAAATGGATGAACGTACTTTGTGTATTTGGAAAAAATATTAGATTAGAAGTAATAGACAAGGTTTTGAAATATTCTGTCATAATGGTAATATAGATGTATGTATTTACAGTTATGCATAATCATAAATTTATTTATATAGATTTTTCTGTGTCACATAAATTAAACCATTATACCTATTACATTATATGTTGCACATCTCTGCATCACCCCATGGTTGACTGTTAGAGAATGCCACCCAGCTTTAAGTCCGCCATCGTATGTTTATTATACAGAAATTTTAATAAATAAATAAATAATATAAGAATAATGCCCGTTATCGCTAGCCTCTTCTAAATTTTAAGGAACCCAAGACAGGCGACATCTAGCAACGTTTTACTTTTCATCAATCTATAAGTGACACTTAACAGATCCTGTATAAGGAAGTAAGGGGTTAGGTTGGATGCTAAGTGACGCTAAGTTACTTTTAGTTAAGAGATGGTATAGGGGTAGCTAGCGAAAAGCTATAAGTAGGTAGGTATCCTTAATCCATATAGGTAGCTACTTAAAAACGTTTTGGTGACTGTTGCTAAGCGCAAAACTCGAAAACGACTGGATCGATTCTGTTATTTCCTTTTCTTTGTAACAGATTTGATATTATTATGTTCATCAGCCTACAGATAGCAATATAGTCGCAATCTATATTTGTGCTAAATTTTAATAAGTACAGATACAGACAAGTGATTTGTGATTGTGTGTGAATTATAATTTAACATCGACCGTTATTTAAGAAGTATTATAGGAAACTAGACTTTCGTGTTTAAGTCGGTTGAGCAAGGTAATATTTTTTTTATATTTAAAAAAACGTTGCACTACACTATGATTTTCTCCTATGTCGTGGGTGCGTTTACAATAATACAATTTTACATGCACAAGAAATCCAGATCAGAAACAACAATTTGTGGATCACACAAAGAGTTGGTCCGGGCGAGAATCGAACCCGCTACACGTTGCACGGCAGCCAGTTGCCCAGCCACCGCGTCCACCGTGCAATCAATACTGGGCCCCGGCTGCTTTTTCAACTACAGGGATTAAAAACTTTATATTATTATATTACATTTAATTCACTGTAGAGACAGAATGAATCAATGTAAGTACAATAACCACCCACTCAAAAATAAACGTTCGAACAGATAATCGGTTCAAAGTTTACTAGATAACGTCTCCATTAACTACAGACGACCGTTACTTATCTCTACCTAATTTAACCAAAATATGTATTCCGACTCTCATTCCTGTGGCCTACTTGACATTTTAATATTAGTATTTTACATAGTATGACGTCACGATTCTATATCCGACGGGGTAGACAGAGGTGTGTATAATGCACTCAATATTAGTTAGGTTATGAGTCCTATAGAGTTTAATTTAAGCCTATGGACATAGACCAATTTCAGACCCCAAGCTGTACCTAATACTCAACATTTTTGAAAAATCAAGTTAAGTACAATGATACTTTGCCCGACTCGGAAATCGAAACTAAAAACTCTTGGTCGGCAGTCATGTTGTTAGCCACTAAACAGTAGTAAGAATAGTATTTTATTATATACTAGCAACCCGCCCCGGCTTCGCACGGGTGCAATACCTATACATGTATTATACATATAAACCTTCCTTTAGAATCACTCTATCTATTAAAAAATACCGCATCAAAATCCGTTGCGTAGTTTTGAAGATCTAAGCATACATAGGGAGAGACAGACGGCGGATAGTGACTTGGTTTTATACTATGTATTTTTTAGTTTTCATTTTCAACCGACTTAAAAAAAACGAGAAGTTTCTCAATTCGTCTGTATAGGTTAGAAGTCGGTGCCACAAACCTATAACAAAATATAACTTAGGTAATGGTCACAGGTATAATCCATAATAAAATTGTAAACAGCTTAATAATGTAAGGTATCTATTAAGCTTAATACTGTTTTAATGAATAATTTTGTTTAAAACTGTGGCACCTATCAGTGGGTGCGTAAGCTATAAGTACTTACGTATGACCAATAATAGTTATTTTTTACTTTTTGTTTGTATTTAGTTTCATTGACCTTTTTTTAAAAAAATATAACCTTTTGTAACAAAGTGTTCTTATTTTAAAGGTAACAAAATTGCTTTTTATACGACATACGTTACCAATTTATAAAATACTTGTATACGTAAATACTTATTACCTAAGACATGTAAAAAAATTACGGCAAGTGCCTCCAGTTCTTTGCTCCCGAGTGTATTATCTAATTTCCCTGTTCCTTACCCACCATCGTTTACGTAATCTACATCATTCTTTAATATAACACACAATAACCATTTCACAACAGCATCCCAGTTTACATAAGTTTTAGAGCTTTTGCTGCCGGAGCATCGAACCCGTTATCAAACGGACGCTGGGGCAGCGGAACGCAGATAGCTTATCAGTGTATTATCAGACGGTAGCTGTTCTACACTGTATCCAATAATTATAATACAGTGAATTATTTAGGACATAATACAAGGGATAAAACAGCAATGCGAACAGGGTTAATTAAGTTTTTTTTTTACACTTTTTGAAACTAACATATCTTCATACTCCATTTTTTTAATGTTACAGATTAATACCTACTCCACGGACTCTTGGTCCGTGCCCTTGTCATATTTTTTTTGATTACAATACATCTAGTCAATTTTTATAAATTAAAGAAGGTACCTAGTTATACACTACAGTCAGTCTCTGATTATGACTTTAGAAAAGTTTAAATTGTTGCTTGCAAGGCATTGTCATTGCCACAACTAAAGCTATAAGTTCGTTGCCAACTTGACAAAGTCGTCTTTCTGACCATTGTTTAGATGGTTTTCTAAAATAATGCCTGATAGGACTTGCATTGGTAGGAAATATCCATCGGGCTACAAACATATACCAAATTATTTTGGAGTCAGTTTTTTCCCTTATCGTATTTATTTGCGTTCACCAAAATGCTATGTATTAATATGAGTTGTGAAATTTTACGGGTCTTAAAGCACCTCTGTGAAATGTCAGATCAGTAGTATATAACAATACCAACCCACAATTAAAAGGTAAAAAGTACCATTTAAGTATGTCTGTAGAAATACATGGTCTAATGTTAATACAGAGAAAATAGGCCAATAATGAAATATAAACTTTGCATTGTAATTTGACCTAATTTGTATTATTGCTTTGAGCGGATAAGCACTATAATTGCATGACCCTTACCCGCTATGGCACATAAAACTATACTAACGTACGACACAGTTAAAATGTAACATAAAACCTTATAAACGTGATAAAACAGACAGAATTTCTATTTTCAAAACAAAATAGAATTTAATCCACGTAATATGATATGCTTTTATGAAAAATAATACGTATACACATCATACGCTTATAACAGTCACCTCGATAAAAACTACAATCATTGAAATTATAAGATATATATCATTATCAAACTTACATCTTAAAATGTTGGGTGCAAACAATTACTTAAAAGTTATAGATAAAATAAGAAAAATCAATTAATTTATATCTCTTGAGAAATATAGACCATCATAAAAAAGGGCAAAAGGGCCCTGTTGCACAAAACAGTGCAAGAATACACAATACTTAAAGAGGTAAACATGTAGCTTGCTCAGTATGCAAAGCACGATATAACCGAAAGGTAGTCTCAATCTCAATCACAAACAAAATATAAACAATCTCACCTGTCCTTGAATCACATGCTCATCATGGTCCGCGTTAGCACCAACCAATTTACAGTATAATTCCGGTCCTTCATCTCCGCATGTAGCCGTGGCCGTAATCTTCTTTTTAGACGCTAAGTTAAAATATCTCGGAGTTAAAACTTCTGTGTGTACGAGGACCGTGTGTATTAGTATAAGGAACGTTATAAATGCGCCTGCGACCGCCATGTTGCGCCGATGGCGGCCCGTCGCCGAATGCCGCGCACTGTGAATAGGGGTGGCGTTTTTTCGTCAATGAATTAGCTAGGGATCTTATTGAGCGGTCGGCTGCTTTTTGTTGTCCAGCTTCAGTAGTATGAATATTAAATTTGTTATTAAAATGTAAATATGTAAATACAACAATTTTTTTTTATAAATGGAATATATTTTGTTGTTGGCTACAAAAAAAATTGTTTAAAAATATGAAAGATAACTTTGAAAGTGAGTATCAAGGTATGTGATGATTTATAATTCACATTGATCATTTCTAATGACCAGCATTGTATGTACGTAAATTATCAATCACAAGGTGGATAGACAACATGGAAAATGTCACGGGAGACCTGTGGATGCAGGTCGCTTCCAACCTGTGGATCTGAAAGATATTATAGAAGGCCTATATTTAACAGGAATTAGATCATGGTGTATAAGTCAATACTCTCCGGGCGCCGGGCGTTCACGCGGCGTAGATCGTATGTTTTTTTTTGTATCCTGCGATTTGGCTGTTATTTGATAACAATGATCCAAAATGAAGGCCGATTATTAAATACAAATAGTCGTAGAGGCAGACATCTCCCTCAGCTGCGCTTAGTAAATCTCTTCGATCGGTTCATTAAGCTAAAATATCTCTTCAGTCAGAAGTATTAAGAATGTTATTGTTTATTACATACTTTGCTAAGGTAATATAATCTATAATATAACTTGATATCAATATATACGGTACGATTTCTGAAAATCCCCAAAATTTGTTCATACAAAGGTAGTCTCTAGGCATCGAAAATAAGGTCTATTTTTTTTTTTTAAGTGGGGAAAATCATCGAATGACTGCTCCCGCCTGGATGAGGCGGAAGGGAGTGTCAGACTCTTACTGACTAAAAACCACCCCGATCCTTCTCCTGCACGTCGAGCCGGAGCCCCGGTTACCCGTTAGGTTCTCTGCGACTCCGAATCGGCATCGGCCCTATTGAGCCTCATCTGTGGTGGTCTGATGGCTCTTTGAGGCGCGCGCGGAACGCGACGCGCCGTACGCTTGGGTCTGTTTCTGGTCGGACGGGGAGCCACCCATGCTCGCCGTCCGCAGGCCCGCGCTTACGGTGGCCGGAGATCGTCCCGCGATCCCCGACGCCCGGTGTGTCCTTCGCGATGGCTGTGTTGCGAGGAGGCAGCGCTTCGCTGCCTCACGCGTCCCGCCTCCTCCTTAGCTAGCATGACTGCCTCGCAAAAGGAGGAGACGGCATCCCAGTCCCCCTCGCTCCGCATCATGGCCTGCACTAGGCCCGGACGCGAGAGGTCGCCATTGCCGATCACTTCCCTGAGGGCACGGCGGTGCTCAGCCCACGCAGGGCATTCCGCTACGGTGTGTTCCACCGTGTCCTCAGGGCGGTCCTCGCAGTGATGACACCCGGGCGTTTCCTCCCGCCCCATCAGACACAGGTACCTCCCGAAACTTCCATGTCCGGTGAGGACCTGCGTCAGGCGGTAGGTGGTGACGCCGAGCCCAGCCCTCGGTTGCGACAGTCGTTGCTGCCATTCCGCCATGAGATCGCGCCGGAGCTCATCCCGCCACGCACTTATCTGGCGCGGCAGCGGAGTTTCGCCCCGGCGACGTGCCTCCGCGCGCATGTGATACACGCGCGCGAGCACCTTCGCCTCCAGATCCCACGGCGGTAATCCGGCAAGGAGGTTCGCCGACTCCCCGGAGATCGTGCGGTATCCGCGGATCATTCGGATCGCCATGACCCTCTGTGACATGAGCAGCGTCCAAGCGGGACGCCGCAGCATGTTCGGCGCCCACACAGGGGCGCCGTAGAGGGCCATGGACCGCACGACCCCAGCGTATAACCTCCGGAAAATAAGGTCTATAATGTAGTTAGCGGAGAGCGGTTACCGGTGACCGCTTGGGGATTGATCAGTTTTACTCCTGGTGAGGACATACGAATAAAGTCACCTATTTTTCTTTTAAGCTTCATACTCAGTAAGATATGTAAGTTAATCTTATAAGTGTATACTATTCATAGCTTAAAAAAACTAAAAAGGTGCTTTTAATTACATAAATGGGCTCGTCATCAGAAAAAAACAGTCATCGCAAACTCGATATGATTACTACAGGTATCCGAAGCAGCGACCTTCCAATTCCATCAATATTATAAGGTTATATGATTGACTACTTTCATGACAATACGACAACTAGAAGTGTGTGTTGTGTGTGAAAAAGGTTCTTACGATTTTATTACGTAGTTCGTTACATCTCGACCTAACAAAACTGCTTATAATTAGAGAGACTTAGAGAACATCGGAACAGAAAATGAGAACCCCGGGACAGAATTTAATGCGCTTTGACACTGTGAACCCTGGCTGTGATAGCTTCCAAATAGAAGTAGTCCAAACTGTGGTGGAACTGAGTATGTTAAGCCCACTGTCCAGAATTCCGCCATTCTGAAAATAATTTAAACAGGTATTGCAAGTTTATTTTATCAAAATATGAAGTTAATTTAACAAAGCACATGACCCTGAATGCTCTAAAACCGTCAATTCAAAATTATAGCTATGGATTACGTGGATATAAACAGATTTTATTCAATTAAGAACATTTTGTATGAACTATCTGTCACATGAGGTCATCGAGTACGTAATTATACCTATATTAAAGATTGTGAAACAGATGCTAATGCCTTAATCGCGCTATGCTAGTATATAGTCAAGTAGCGAGTATTTAGTAACTCACTCTTGCTTCCTTTTTGGGACAGAAGTGAGAGAGATATACTAAACACTCGCTGCTTGACTAAAATACTAACATAGTGCAAACCAGGCATAAGTGTGAGCTGTCAAACGACGGCCTCCTTGGGTGCAACCAAACCAACCTTGGATGGGTCAAAATCGATATTGTAGACAGATTTTATAAATGTATTTCATTATAAGTGTAATGAAATATTACAAAAAAATATTACAAAAAAAAAAACAAAATCTCATAATAATAAAAAACATTTCAAAACATTTGCTGTCAAAATATTTTTGTCACACTGATGATAAATGTGTATATCTATGATTTTTTGAAACGTTGTGTGTGTACGTCCGTTGGTGACAGGTAGATTCCAGGTGTCGTTGAGTCATAGGTGCGTGACATACTTCACGTATTAAAATATATGTTTGTAAATATATTTATAATAAGTAGACACAGAGATTTGTTACTATCTTGTGCATTGTTGCAATAGTCCTCCTTACACACACAGACGTGGTATCGAGCGTACAAGGAAATGCCCCTGCTGAAGGGTGTCAAGGAAGCATGCGGGCTGGAGACACAACCGTCGGTCATTGCATGCGCAGTCTTCTCAAGACTCATGAATCTATCGGATGCGAAAGTCTTTCCCAGTTGTGGCGGCATTGTTCGGCAACCCCTTTCATCATAGACTTCGCCAACGTCAAGAAATCGCTTGAAACAACCCTCTAGAAATGAAAAAAACATAACTAATATTTTAATAATCATCAAAAAACATGCAATAGACGAAACGCTAAATGGGGTTTGATACAGTTGACTTGTTTACCACAAGTCAATTAAGTGACTGAAGAAATTACATGCATAATAACGGCTAGTTGTACTGGAAAGTTATATAGTAACTTGTTACTATACTTTTTTTTAAGGGGGGAAATCATCGAATGACTTCTCCCTCTTGGGTGAGGCTGGAGGGAGCGTCAGACTCTTACTGACTAAAATCCACCCCGTTCCTACTACTGCACTTCCAGCTGGAGCCCCGGGAACCCGTTAGGTTCTCCGCGGCTCTGTATCGGTATCAGCCCTATTGGGCCCCGTCCGTGGTGGCCTGAAGGCTCTTTGAGGCGCGCGCGGAACGCTCCGCGCCGTACATTCGGGTCTGGTTCTGGTCGGACGGCGAGCCACTCATGCTCGCCGATACTACGAGTACAGTGTAACTATCACAATAAGTAGAGGCCTACTACAAGTTTGTTTAACGTTTAAAGTTATCTAAACGAGACCGCGTTTAGCGCTCTGATTAGGTGGTTCGTTAGAGCCGGCCAATCAGAGCGTCGTACACCTGACTTTTTCCGAGTTATATGAACTTTATAAGATATACCACTGACAAACGGCAAAGGAAAACATCGTGAGGAAACCTGGGCTTATAATTTCTAATTATAAGTTTGGAATCGCCAAACCGCATTGAGCAAGCGTGGTGATTTATGCTCAAACCGTAAGAGAATAGGCCATTGACTTTGGTCTGTAGTGGCTTATAGGCTGTTGATGATGAAACGTAAAACCAATGACGATGAAAGACTTGTATGAGCTACAATATGTTATAAGGTAACAACAATAACCTTTGTAAAGCTTCCTTGGGTCTACATTAAAATCAGGCGCTCGTTTAACTTTTTTACTCCCTTTAGTCCACACCTTTCCTTTACACACTACTTTGAGTCCTGCCTTTAAATATTGATAATGGCGTTTAGTATTGTCAAAAATTTGGTGACAAGTTGGTTGTCTTGGGATATCGGTAATGTTCAAGCCGCACTGGTAGCATTTCCTTACAACGGCTGAAACTAGTTTTTGGTCTTGTGTTCCAGGAGTGGATCGAGCTGTCGATGTACCTCTACTTACAGTTGATCTAGTTTTGATTGTCGTCGTCTGTTTAACGGTCTCACCCGTATTAATAGTAGTAGTGGTTACTCCTCCTTGCCTGCCTTTGCTTTTAGTACGAAGATGAATTAAAATTGTAGTATTCATGGGTTCTGTAGCCGAATACAATTGCATTTCATCGTAATCTTCTGTCACTTCCTCAATTTCTGGCTCAAAATTTAATGTACGTGTAACTGTTTCTATGTAATTTGTAACATTTTTCTCGCCTCCAACGACATATTTTTGTTCTTCTTCATTATCAGCGTCTTTGATCTCGGTCTCAGTTTGATCTATAGGTAATAAACGTAACTGAGGGAAGTAAGTTGGAAATATTTTTTTTCTTGCCTTT